CATGGGAGACGAGAAACCTGTAGCAAGTAAAAAAGCCCGATTTCTGATTGTACAGCCATTGTATTTCAGGGATGTTTTGTTGTGCCGACTTGAGCAGGAGTCGGTAAAGGTTGCAAACTAAAAGCGAAATCCATCAGATAAACCAAGGACACCACTGTCTGACCTTCATGAAGCTCACGTCGCTTTAGAATCCTTATTCCACCTTCACAGGATGCCAAAGATACAAATCCAAAACAGTCACATGTCGCCTCGTATACCGTATTAACGGGTACCACATCCCGACACCGTACGCGTACCCGCCATACCTGTGACCCCCATACCCGCGGTGTGGCCCATACCCGTGGTATAACCCTAACCACATCTTCACGCGATGAAGCGCACGGTAACCATTCCATTCTCCATCATCGCATGGAAAGCCTCAGCCTGGATGATGCAATCGCCATGACCTAGAAGGGTTGCCATAAGAATGTTGCTGCACCATATATCTGCCCTTTTTGCGGTTCTCCGAGCGCTTCAAACAGTGGTTTCCCATGGGTTTTGATGTTGATATTCTGTCGTTCGAGGAGCTCGACTGTTGCAGTGGCTGTCTTGGCTCCGGAATTCCAGTGTAGGTTCATCCTGTGTTAGGGCAGATCAGTGGCATCGAGTGTTAGATACTGTATACATGAATTTATGATATACTTGGTACCTGTGGCAACACCAAAGCACGGCGATGAATGAATAATACAGTCAAGCAGTGTTTGCATTCACGCACCAAGCATAATACACAAGAGGTGGGGTCTCCATGCGTTCGCAGCTAGTGTTGAAACTTGTCCAAATTTTAATCAAAGCCCGCGGCGCTACTGTCGGCATTTAGTTTGCGGAGTCAAGAAATGAACCAAGCCTACTGCTGTAGCAACAGGATTGGGCCGAGTGCTTACCGCAAGCAATGCACACTCTCTTGTTGCCTCACCCTCATCGGTCATGGAAGACGAGAATCGACCTGCGCGTGAAGCTCGACGGACAGGCGCTCATGATGCCATCGAAGCTAGAATGAACGCCTATCGTATTTGCAAGGTCTGCCTACATTATTACTTAAGTCTATATATGAGACTACTAAAGTTTTGCTCCTGTGACAGATCCTCCCGACACATTCTTCCTCGTGCTCAGAACCATTCTACTGCCGCTCTGGAGGCTACTCTTTTTTGAACTCGGACACATCATAGTGAGTGTTTTTCTCTTCTATCAACTACTTTATCGCAAACCCACTACTTTCCCTTTTCCAGCCCATCGCTCTCTGTTTGTTCGTCCAGGTGATTGATAAGGCCATCCTGTCATAAGCTCTTCAGTGTCATGGTGTCATCGGCCATCTGGCTTTTATGAATCATGACCATTATTTTTGATCAGACAGATGATAAGTGCTTTCCTTCACTCTCAAGATCTCTTCTTTATCGACTGCCTGGGCTTCGACACGCTACTCTAAGGACACTCCGAATTGTATTAATGTACGTATATCATAATCTCGCTCAACAATCTACACTGACGGATATGCTACCAGTAAGACTTCGACAGGCCGTATATGCCCAACCCACGATTCCGAAATATCTGTCAGTTCTTGGTTCATTTTTTTATTCTTGCTTCGTGCTCAGATATATGGTAATCCAGGGCATTCATGGATGTGTCAAATTCAAGGATTATCAACCGTCTGAGCTCGGACACGCTCCTTCTACTTTCCTTGGTGCGTGGAACAGTCACATCGCGCCCCACCCGAACAACTCAGACGGATGATGACATTGGTGCACATGAAGTCAATTGTAAGACCCACGATGCGCTAAAGAGCCGCGCCACTGGTCAACGGACTTGAAGGCATGGGTGAGTTGTGTCTGCATACATGATAAGAGCCATCAGCGAGGAAAAGTACTATTAATGGGATTCCCAGGTACGCCTTGAACTAGACATGTGTGAGTCTAATTCCCTCGATCTAGATAAATGAAAAAACTTGGAATCCTGACAAGATCGGTGATCGAATTCCCGATCACATACTTTTCTTGTCGTTCGTGTCGTTGACCATTCTAGGCCGATGCTTATCTCTTTCATCGTGCTTCTAATTGAGTGCTCGATCACGATTCATATATTCATAATCGATCACATCCCAATCTCGCCTTCGATACGTGTCTCCATCGATGATATGCTATCAGACTCTTCATTCACCAAGTGATCATTTGTTTGCCTATGACTGTGATCCATGTCGACGGTGTATGTATTCATGTATGCATGTCTGTATCTCGTTCGCTAATGGGTTGTCAGCTATCTGGCTTCACGAGTCGCAGTATCTATGTCTGGACAGTGGAACACCAACACGCAGAATCAGCGGTCAAGGTACTTTTACTGATTCTCGTTGTATTTCAACAAAGGATTAGATTGGTTACTAGACGTTCCGGATAGTTTGCCCCTACCACCTGGTTCAAGCGCGGGTAGTACATCATCCCAGTAGTGATACAACAAGAAATAACTTTGCCTAAACCTATCAAATATACCATATGTTAAATAAATACCACGACGGATCCTCCACCAAATTGCGCTTCCCTGCAGGCCACTCGGCAAGCATGTCCTTACACAGTACTGCTAGTCGATACATGTACATGCTCCTGGAAAACAATCGAATCCATGCTAGTTTCTGCGTCGGAGGATGCCACGAGTTTGGCGTTGTATTCTCGAACGCTAAGGATGAGGCGTGGTCCCAGCACAAACATCTGCACGATCATTAAAATTACACTAGCACCTGAGAGTGTCTCAGCTCCAATAGATTTTGAATTCTACAAAAATAATGAGCAGTGGTTGCACGCAGATATCAGCGACAGGTGAGCGCACCGAGAGTTCTGGAGAGAGAATAGCAAACTGGAAGCAAGAGACACCAAAAAAGCTAACACGTGCGGAACTTGAGCAGAAAAATATAACCGCGTTCACATTACAAACTCACCTTGCAAAATAAAGAATATGAGATTGTATCAGCACTCTGAAACAGTCCACGATGGTCGATCCTGTCGATAGGCCGAGTCGTCGCAGCTCACGAAAGTGTTTCACAGCAATCCAGACTGAAAGACACAGTGCGAGGACCTCCCAAACAGTGTTGAGCATCCAAATCATTGAATACAGAAGCTGCCCGTCCCCTCCATATCCAACACCGCATACATCTATGCCAGAGGGTATCAGCTCCTCTGGTGTTTACCCAATGAGCCGTGTTTTTCAAGTCAACAAGTAAAACCTACCCCATACAGCATAGTACTTGAGGTCTATTGCCAAGATCACTCCGCAGGTGGTGAATACAGCCAGGAAGATAATAACAAGGAAGATAAGCATCTTTCTAGATCCATGATACATGGCATGCAACCGAGCAATCGTGATGACTTGCATCGTGTGTCAGTCAGGTCAATATCACAGAGGTATTGCACCTGGGTGGCTCACCGCCCAACATGGCAGTTACAACTAGATTCATCACACTCTCTGTGTAGTACGTGATAGTGCCTAAAACTCCCAATTGGTGAACGCCCTCGCACTAGTATCAGAGACTCCGACTTACACCTATCGAGTCATTATATCGAGCCAAGTTCAATGCTTGGAATCTCACTCACCCCTGCATATGAGCGTATTGATTAGAATCATTGGATAGGCATGAGATGGTCGCAGAGAACTTACTGCATCTGTCAGCGATACTGATGGTATAATTGCTGTGTCTCGCTGGTTAGAAAATGAAATGTAGCGCATATGAGACATACGCAGAAGATAGACACTAATTGTCAGATATGAACTATTAGCACGTGTAAAGTTGTTGGTCTCGAGACATACACAAAAAACGGTATTCCAATATAGCGTATCTAGAACATTTTGGAGTCAGCACAACTTGCCCACCACGCTAAAGCACGACATGAGGTGACTAACAATCAAATATAGCACGGTCATGAGAGACCATCGTTGTCTCTGTCGCGAATTCAGTGCATGCTCTTGTTTTCTGCTGATACGGGACTCTTGCCACTCACCCAGATGAGTTCAATCTATGACACCATTCTTAGCGAGTTGGCTGCTCCGGCGATGACATCAACGTACCTCTTGTCCGAGTGTTAAGACTGGAACCATGATGAGAATATCAGCGATTTTTAAACACTGTCCTGCTTACCCCAATCGTATACCACCACGACGCCAGCACCAACTGCGAAACTGCATGTCAACGTTAGATCTGGACATCCTAATGTGACGAACCTGTCCAGTAGGTGAACAAAATATCGAAATTGATTGTCGGCCACCAACTGGGATCATTTGAGTTGTAGGTCATGTTCGAGGGATGGGTGAGGGAGTGAGGAATGTCAGTGGTGTATGACGATAGCGTTCGTGCTAGATATACCACCGTTCAGCGCTTGTATCGCCACAATCAGCGTGATGGAGATGAAAAATTGATTTCGCCTCAAGACCCTTGATCAGGTGAAAGGGTGCGAAATCAAACAAAAGCCGGTAATCAAATTATATTTTGATTTCCAAATCACTATTACGTACCGGAATACTTCAACACCAGGAAAGTTCCAGTCGTTCGTGATGTCGACAACTCATTTCCAACATTTTTTTTTTGCGTGTTTGCTGTGAGCTTGCAAAAATTGAAGAATTCCCTATGAAATCATGTAGTCGTCGATCAAACACAGGTCAAAGTGTGATATGCGAGAAGCGAGTATTTACACACTCTTCGGCATCGCTGGCTGAGCCCGAGGCGTAACAGCCTTCCAATTACTCTTATGGAACAAGGGTCATTCTGCGGAACTCAGACAATAAACCATGACAGAGTGGGTCGAATATATCTCACCTCATCCGTCGCCTGGTACGCTCGAATCATTGGGCTATCATGATCATATCAGAATGATGAACAGAGAGATGGTAAGCGTAGAGCAAATCCGACGCAAAGCTCACTATGTTCAATGCATGATGCACTTGATATCATGGCGGTGTAATGTACTGCCAGATACATCCTGGTTCGTGATTGATGTATGTCGAAAATTTTACAAGGGAGACAGTAAACCAGCAACGCGCCAGAAGCCAGATTTCTGATTGTACAGGCTCATCTTGATGGCATCGTGTTTGAGTAAACTCCTATCCTGTAAGAGTGAGACGTATCGTTCCCGTGTAGCTCCATCCAGTGTTAAATATATGAAAGTTATGATATAGTTACCTGTGGCAGCACCAAATTACGGCGACGAATGAAGGCTTGAGATTTTTTATCGACGGAAAAACGGAAACAAGGTTCGAAAATAACTTGTCGGAGGGTCGAAGTTCGAAGGTGCTTTGACGGTTGTGGAATGTGTTGTTGTTATAAGTACAAAATGGTCGTGGTGCTTTGCAAACAAACCATTTGTAACAAATCGCGAATCACAGCTTGATCGACGCACCGAATAGACAGTTGCAGGCAAGGAAATAGAGTGGTGATAAGATAGCTGGCAAGACACCTGGCAGGTCCAATCTCGCCGTGGTCGCAGGCGCACGGAGACTTGTTTGCTGAAGTACGTTGGCCGCCGTCTATGTTCAGTGAAGGCACCAAAAGCACTGCTGGTTATGCCCATAGTCCAGAGAAGAACTGACCGTTTGGGGGCAGGATGCTGGCAAAGACGCAAATGGTACTGGGCACGATAAATCAATAATAATTTTGTATTCATGATTCACGCACCAAACATAATACGAAAGAGGCGGTGTTCGGTGCGGCCAACGTTGAGCTTAAATTTAAAGCCCGCACGGCGCAGGCCCACCGTGATCAGCGTTTGCGGAGTCAAGAAATGAACTAAAGAATTGTGCTTACAGCTTTGCAAGCAACAGGCTGGAAGGCCGTTCCGGAACTCACACTGTCTGTACCACTCCCTCTTGCTGCATCGGTTATGGAAGACGATGATTGACCTGCGCGTGAAGTTCGTCGGACAATATCCGATAATGCCCATTGATTGATGCACCCGCGGCGCGCGCTGAATCGGATCTGCGCATTCCAATATCGGACAGACTCGCAGTGCACCTCAACAAAATTGGCATTGGCATTGGAGACGGCTTATTTATGGCGTCTAGTTTTAGCCAGTTGTAAGTTGTTTGTTCTATTCCACTCCTCTCGACGACATATGCTAGGCTCACCATCGATACAACAGCGCTCATGCGCCCGCCGTCCTCGAGCATCAACAGAATTGCTTCATTCTTGATTTGCATCTAGACCTAGGCTTTACACCGACCCCACCTGAGAACGATGCGCCCAACTATCGATCAAACCATGTATTTCAATACTCAAGGTAAGCATTTTCATGGGCTTTCGTCTAGGATGTGCTCTTACTACCTGCAACACACTTATTTTCCTCTCGTAATCCACCTACATGGACAGCCTGGATGGTGGTATCCATGAAGAACCATGGCTTTATCAGCCATCTCGGCTTCCGCAAATCTTCGTTTTCATTTTCAAAAACAGAATTCCCCCCTCGTACTCCATTCGCCCGAGTCTACCCACTGGTCTAGATGTTTGAGCAGGACCGTTGCGAGACCAGCTGTCTGAACCGACATGTTAATCGGGGTGACAGGGATCAATGACGATGGTATCAACAATTAGGTCCGTGTCATTATCTGGTTCGATGCTTCACGCTGACAGATGTGGAACTTTCTCTATGGGTGTCAACAGATCACAAGGACCTGTATACAAACCTAATACACAATTTCACGATCGCTGGCCTTCGTTTTCTTCGTTGTTTGTGTTCAGACAGACGATAATCAGGAATTTGTCGTTCTCAGGCTATCAGCTGTCAGAGTTCAGACACGCTGCTTTCATTTCCCTAGCTCACGGAACTCTCGCATCGTGTTCCCCATGTCTGCCCCAGATGGGTATTTGTAGAAGAGGACAGCATGAAAGTAGGATGGATGTATTGTTAGCCATCTACGCTTTAACAATCAGTATCGCTTCTCACATTTTTCATGCTCAGACAGTTAGTGCATCAGTGATACTTTTTCAGGTGTGTTTTGCTTCCCGCTCAGGAGTCAGTATACCTCATCTCCTTGCCATGCGGATCTGTAATAGAGATAATTACTCGAGCTGTAAGCCTCTTAATATCATGATATTCCGCATTAAGTTGGGTCGTGCTCGAAACTAGTCGTTGTCGACAACATGACTTGTTCACGGTGGTCAACTTTAAGTTGGTTCAATCACATGATCGATGCTCATCTCATCTCCAGATAATCGACACCCTACTTCCACCTTTATGCACGATTCCGTACTCTCTCTCCGCCGCCCGGATGGAGGATGATGAAGGCGTCCAGGTATTCTAGCTGATCTGACGAATCAATTTGTGGTTTCATAACTCACTCAGGTTGCTTCTTCTTTTGCTTTGCTTGGGCACATGATAGAGCCAGTACGATCTGGTCAAAGTGCGTATGTCAGAATATCATGGTGGACACCTTACTGATACTTCCCAGGTGCGCTCGATGCCTTTCGACTTGAGCTCCAAATTTCTTCTCTACTCAACACTTATCATCTCCTTACCACGCACATTCATTCAGGACGACGTATACTCACACCGCAAGTCTCTTTTCCAGCCATCATGCTAAATATGGTTGAATCATGCTTGAACAGATGTCAATCAGCCATATAGTGCGTAGCTCCACTCTTCACGCACCATTCGTTACAACTTCTTTGCCTCCCAGTGGATGATATTGAGTCGGCATTCGTCTGGCCCGTTCTGCTCCTCTCTTATGCATGACCCTTAGCCATTCAATAGACAAGGCTCGACCCACAGGCACCATCGAAGGGCCATCAGCGACAAGTTCATCCAGAAACCACATCGGTCACTATCTTGAGCCAATTACGTAGGTTCAAAGCCAAACATTGTGATATCGCGTCGCTCAGAATTCACTCAATTTAGGCTATCAGCTGTCCGAACTCAGACACATCACCTCTACTCTAGTTCTAGCGTTATTCGTGTATGCTTCATGGTCCAATTTTCACGGTTCATTGATGTTTGTCTATAAGTCAAGGACCGAAGAAGTCCGTTCCAATATTCGCGATCCTACATTCATTGAGTCGAAAGGGCTCGACTCATGGGTAGACCTTGTGGAGAAGAGCTATCAGCGAGACCACCATGGCCTCCTAGGCACGCCTTGTACCAAGTATGTATGTTCAGTCAATTCGATCGATCTAATCAAAAACGGAATAACAAAATCAACGATCTAATTCCCGATATCGGTTTTCGTTCATGTTGTCGTCCTAATGTGCGTCTTCCAGGATTTGTATCATTTAATGCCTTATCTAGCTCGGTATCTATTCATCTAGGCCATCCTTCTTTCGTCCATGGTGCTTCTATTCTCGGATTCAGTGCGGGGCTTTATCGAACACGTATCCTAATCCCGCCATCGATGCACCTCGCGTCTCCATCGATAGTACCTACAGGAATGGCAGGCCTAGGACTGTGATCCATATCTGTATCTCGTGAGGTACTTTACTCTGATAGTCGCGCTTAGCGAGGGCTCCAACAGGATATCGCAGTCGATGCCTCATCGGTAGTTTGATAGGTACGCTTGACGTCCTCTGACCTGAACCTCCGATTTTCTTATTCTCCACTCATATGCATCACTCAGCAGACCCCATATCCTTGTCATGCTCATTCGCGAGAGAGACGTACACTCAAGCCATGAGTGTACGCGATTCATTCATGTCATTCTCCATGGCCCATCGCATGGAGGAAATCGCATCTGAGCACCGATTAGTTATCTTCACGATTCGCAGTATCTATATGTCCAGACAGTGGAACACCAACGTGCAGAATCAGCTATCAAGCACTTTTACTGATTTTCGTTGTATTTCAACATCGGTCATCAAGGACCAGTTTGGTTGCTAGACACTCCGGATAATTTCACCTTACCACTTAGTTCAAGCGCGGGTGCTTCGCACCAGTAGTGATACAACAATAAATAGCTTTGCCTAGACCTTCCAAATATACCTCGAAACACCACATGTTAAATAAATACCACGAAGGATCCTGCACCAAATTTCTCCTCCCTGCAGACCACTCGGCAAGCATTTCCCTATACAGTACTGCTAATTGATACATGTACACGCTCCTGGAAGACAATCGAATGCATGCTAGTTTCTGCGTCGGAGCATGCCACGAGTTTGGCATTGTATTCTCGAATGCTGAGGATGAGGCGTGGTCCCAGCACAAACATCTGCACGACCAATAACATTTGAACAGCACCATAGAGTATCTGAGCTGCAATAGAATTTAGATTCTATAGAACTGATGAGCAGTGGTTACACGTAGATATTAGCAACAGGTCAGCGCACCGCGATTTCTGGAGAGAGTTCAATAAGCTGGAGGCAAGAGACACCAGCAAAGCTAACATGTGCGGAACTTGAGCAGACAAATATAACCGCATTCACATCACAAGCTCACCTTGCAAAATAGAGAACGTGAGATTGTATCAGCACTCTGAAAAAGTCCCCGACGGTCGATCCTGTCGATGTGCCGAGTCGTCGGAGGTCACAGAAGTGTTTCACAGCAATCCAAACTGAAAAACACAGTGCGAGGACCTCCCAAACAGTGTAAAGGATCCAAACCGTTGAATACGAAATCTGGTGGTTCGCTCCATCTCCATCTACATAATAGCATATATGCGTGCCAGAGAGTACGAACTCCTCTGGTGTTTGCCCAATGAGCCGTGGTCTTCATGTCAACAAGCAAAGCTTACCCCATACAGAATACTCGAGGTCTATTGCCAAGATCACTCCGCAGGTGATGATTACAGCCAGGAAGATAATAACAAGAAAGATAAGCATCTTTCTGGATCCATGATACATGGCATGCAACCGAGCAATCATGATGACTTGCATTGTGTGTCAGTCAGGTCAATATCACAGAGGTATTGCACCTGGGTGACTCACCGCCCAACATGGCAGTTACAACTAGATTTATCACACTCTCTGTGTAGTACGTGATAATGCCTAAAACTGCCAATTAGTGAACGCCCTCACACTAGTATCAGAGACTCCGACTTACACCTATCGAGTCATTATATCGAGCCAAGTTCAATGCTTGGAATCTCACTCACCCCTGCATATGAGCGTATTGATTGGAATCATTGGATAGGCATGAGATGGTCGCAGAGAACTTACTGCATCTGTCAGCGATACTGATGGCATAATTGCTGTGTCTCGCCGGTCAGAAAATGAAATACAGCGCATATGAGACATACGCAGAAGGTTGACACTAGTTGTCAGAGATGAGCGATTAGCACAGTGCAAAGTTATTGATCTCGACACATACACAGAAAACGGTATTCCAATATAGCGTATCTAGAACATTTTGGAGTCAGCACAAGTTGCCCACCATGCTAAAGCACAATATGAGGTACGAACAGTCAAATACAACACAGTCATGAGAGACCAGCGTTGTCTCTGTCGCGAATTCATTGCATGCTCTTGTTTTCTGCTGATACGGAACTCTTGTAACTCACCCAGATGAGTTCAATCTATGACACCATTCTTAGCGAGTTGGCTGCTCCGGCGATAACATCGACGTACCTCTTGTCCGAGTGTTAAGACTGGAAATATCATGAGAATACCAGCGATTTTCGAACATTGTCCTGCTCACCCCAATCGTATACCACCACGACACCTGCGGCAACTGCGAAACTGCATATCAAGATTAGATCTAGACATCTTGATGCGACAAACCTCCCCAATAGCTAACAAAAATATTTGAACTGATATACGGCCACCAACTTGGATAATTTGAGACGTAGGTCATGTTCGAGGGATGGGTGTAGGCAAGTGGGGAAGGTTAGTGGTGTATAACGACAGCGTTCGTGCAAGATATAGCACCGGTGAAGTTTGAGCTCCATTACAGCGCGCACAGGACGTACAGCCTCGCAGTAAATTCCTATTATAGTACTAGTCATGAGCGCTATGGTGCGCGTCACTTAGCCACCACTACCTTTGAACAGTGGCCAAATCGGTCTGAGGAAAAATTTCAACCCTAACCCTACGCGTGCAACTCCAACGGATGCTTCGATATTAGTTTGAAACATGTAGCGCTACAGTAGACAACGACAATTTATCGTGCAGATGTCGTTTTTACCAGTCTCTGATGCCCAAGAACCACAGGAAGGTAGCAGCCGCTCACGCTAGGGCCGCACGATGGTCAGCTCCAACAGCTCCAACTGCCGAGCACAGTAACTCCACTCTTCAAGCCACCCCCGCACAAACCTATTCCGAGTTGCAGGAACAAACATCAGAGCCGTCCAAACTCTGTGGCAGGGAAGTTAACCTGATAGAGCTGGACTCCGAGTATGAGTGTGGTTATACTGGGGGTGTCAGTTGTTATTGGTCAGATACAGGTGATGAATATGAAACAGACTCGAATGCTGATAGCGAAAGGTCGGAGTGCGATAGCCTCTGCGAGCTGGAGGGCAGCGAGCTTGAGGAAAACTTGAGGGAGCTCCGAGAAGAGGTCATAGCCCTGGGCACATCAGTGGACAGTTTGTTCGACAAGATATCCAAGCCGAAGACAGGCGCAGTTTGGAAGAAGGCAGAACGGAACAGATCACTTGGATACAATGGGCTCTCGGGTCGTACTCAGCGGCGGAGGGATAAGGCAGCACGAGACCAAGCTGAACAACAAAAGAAAATGAAGACATCGTATGTATGAGTGTTAATGGCCTGGAAAATGAATCTAATGCACTGGCACACCTGATCAGAACCAATCCACAGGTTGCATTCATGCGACAGTGGTGTGCAACCAAAGACGACACTGTGCCCGAGATTGAACCACCGAGTGCGGATGAAACACTTTCAAATGCTGCCGCAGCAGCACAGCCTCCATTAGCATGTGATGCAGCGACCGCTTTCACTGGCTACCTTTCAGACGAACCCAAGGATGTCATTGACTCCAGCTCGGACGATGATGACAATGACGACGACAGCAAAGGACTTGGAGGTGATGGACATGGCATAAGCAACAAATTGCCTGTTGTGCGGCCACTTAAGCGCCACAAGCTTGATGTTCCTGCTCGTGCCCAGAAGAGAATCGATAAAGAAAGGCGTGGAGATGATAGGCGTGTGGCATTGGAAGTCATTGAGAAGCTGTTGAAGTCGAAGAAAACCAAGTTTATTGGTGGTTTGGGTGGCCTGCAAGCGAAACGAACACGTACCATCCAAAGCCATCTTGCCCTCATTATCAAGAGAGGTCGCTCTTCAATTGATGCATCAGAACGTGCCGCTGAAACTCATGGTTTCGCACCTATCTGGGGTGGCCGATATTGGGTCTTTGAAGACCAGTTCAAGTTGCGAAAGAAAGGGGTGGGACGTGGCCTCCATCGCAGTGACATGATTTGCTCAACAGTTGGACACATGGTGGATGCAGGTGAATCATTGGAGTATGGAAAGAATCACGAGGGATATTGGAATGGCAAGATGTTTGTGAAACAGGTGGGTCTTTCGTGTCGAGTTCTTGGCAAAGCTTTCCCGCTGATATTCATCCAGCTCAGTGACAAAATTATACCCACATTCGAACATATCCATGGTCCTGGATATCAAGCATTGTTCCTCATCGATAACTCGCAGGGCCACTCTGCATATGCTGAAGATGCCTTGCTCGTTTCTCGCATGAATGTGAATCCAGGTGGCAAACAGGCTCATATGCGACCTGGATGGTTCATGCACAATGGCATGAGGATCGAACAGGACATGGTATTTCCTCCCGATCACCCGCAATTTCCAAATGAAGCCAAAGGTATCAAGCAGGTCTTGAGTGAACGTGGTCTCTGGCAGCGGCAGTCTTGTGGAAAGTGTAGCACAAAGTAGTGGTGCCGAAGTCCGGTTCGGTTCGGTTCTTAGGCCTCTAAATGCGAACGCCGAACTGGACCATCGGTCGCGTTCAGGCAAGGAGGGCGAACACTGGACCGGACCCTTATGAACGCGTTCACAAGCGTTCGGTTCAAGTTCAGAACGCGTTCGAACGCTCGAACGCTACATATAATTTGACAAAAATTGCAAGAAATACATGAACCGTAAATGAGTAGCTAAATTTCGTCCATGGCATAGTGTTCGTGAGCAGCAGCAAACTCAGCTTGAACCGTTGCAGAAATGTGGCCTTGACGGTACCCACTCTTCAATAACTGAAGGGCCTCGAATGTTGTTGGCAACAAACGATTACGGCGCGCAGTCCCAGTGATGCCGCCACTCGAAAAGGCTCGTTCAGATGCAACGGCAGAGCCTTGAATAGCGAGGTAATCCTTTGCAATGCGTGAGATGGTGGGATATTGAACGGAATGGTGCTAAAGGCATAATGAGTCAACTTGCAAGGAAATGCGATGCGAAAAAACTCACACCCCACCACGCCACTATATTCTCAACATCCTCTAATGGGGCAGCAAGGTAGTCGTCAAGCTCCTGGCGAGGTCTTCGATTTGCGGTGTCATTTGCGACACGAGTTTTGACAGCATCGCGCATCCAGCTATGGCCGTATGACCCATGGCGAGCAAGCGAGGCAGGAGCTGCAATAGACGGCTCTGCAGCAGCGGGCGAGGAGTTGTGATGATAATATTTGTCAAAAACCTTCCGCAAGCTTCTCATGCCCTCGTCGAAGTCGTGAGGCTCCCATTTACCCTTCGCATATGCCACCTTATAGTTAGGATCAAGCGCTACATTGTGCATTAGATAGGGCATCATAGTAAATAAAACACATACCGAGGCAAACAAAATAAACATCAGTTTCGTCAATCTTGTGGTACCATTTGCGAATATTGTCGAGGCCAGAGTTGATTGCGGATGAAAAGTCGTCAAACTTCGAAGAACTAGCCATGTTTTGCCAAGTTTGTTGGAGATACTCGAGGACTGGAATTGCGCGCCATACAGTAGGTTCACGCTACCTTCAAATCCCCACTGCGCTCCTCTTTCTTCTTATGCTTGCGATCCTCACGGTCCTTGTCTCCAAATACCTTGGTCCGCTCGTAAGCTTCCTCCCCGTCATTGTCTTCGGCCTCTTCTTCATCATCTGAACAATCCTCTAGTGCAGGAGGTTCGTCGTCATCGTCATCATGGTGACGGACCAGACGGGACCCACGTTGCACTCGCTTGGGTGCAGGCTGTCCTTGGGGAGGCGCTGGAGCCACTCGTTTGGCTGGAGTCGTGTTGCCAGCATCGCGGATTTTTTCTGTCGGTTTAACAGCTCGGCCTGAGCGAGACACAAAGGCAGTTAGCTTGCCATTGGATGCAGGAGGTGGAGGTGGAGGAAGCATGGGCGTGTCATCGTCAGGATCATTGTACCAATCGATGGCACTAGCATCCTTGAGTTGGCCGTCAGATCCAAGTGCGCACGACATTTGTGCAGCAAGGAGGGTGAAGATTGAACCTGTAGTAAGTAGCTCATTTATTCCAAATTTTATGATAAGAGATCAAAAAAATGACGCACCTTGAACATCCTGTTGCCATGCAATTACTTGGTGTTGAAGCTTGAAGTACCAGAACGAGAAACCTGAGAATATGTTCTGAAAATAAAGACCATTGAAGTCTGAATAAAGATTAACATTTGTTTAACATTAGGCTTACCAGAACATCGAGTAGATTACCAGGGAAGTCAGATCTCGCCAATGGAAATGTGTTGGGTGTTTTGGCTGCGAAGTCCGATCCGCTATTGATTGTCCCGAGATCGATCGACATGCCGGTTGCCAGAAGATCAGAGCAGATATATTGGTGGATCATGCAAAGAATATGAGAACACGTTCAGACGGGTTCGAACGGGTTCGAACGGGTTCACAGTATTCAGGCAGCAGCCGAACGCTGAACTTAATAATCAGTTCGGTCCTTATACTATTTCGAACCCAGGACCGAACCCACGGTCCGGTCCGGGAGGGTTCAGGTCCGAACCGAAGTTCAGAACCGGACTGCGGCATCACTAGCACAAAGTGTAATATTGATGCAACAGCTTGTTGCAACAAACGTATACTCGAGCTCCAGCCCGATTTTCAGCAACAAAAGTCATACATTCAGGAAATCATCGAAAATGCTGGTCATCTCTGCATCTTCCTCCCAAAGTTCCACTGTGAACTCAATTTCATCGAATATTTCTGGGGGAAGGTCAAAAAATATCTCCGAGACAACTGCGACGGCACTTTTGAGACCCTGAAGAAGAACATGCCCTTAGCAATGCAGTCTGTGCAGCTCAGTACCATTCGACTGTGGGAACATCGCATGCACCGCTGGATGGAGGCATATCGGACGGGTCTGAGCACAAAGGATGCCCAGTTTCAGGTTAAGCAATTCAGCTCTACAAAGTACAAGTCTCACAGACGTATTCCGGAGACATTGGCTCGCATTTTTGATTGATGGGGAATCATAGTACTTTAGGTGGCCAAATCATCCCTTTTGTTTTTAAAAAACTCGCTCAGATTTGATTCAATCAATAATTCCTCTTGTAGCTTTACTCTACTCATCGAAAGGATCATTTTTACAAGAGGAAATAAAAATCTGATTTTTTTTCGAGGGGGTGAGAACGTTGTTCAAAAGTAGTGGTGGCTAAGTGACGCGCACCATACTAGGCCTAAGTATTACTTCAACTCATGTACTTACATCAGCAAAATGCTAATATGTTAAATAAATACCACAACCGATCGTCCACGAAATTTCTCATCTCTGCAGACTGCTCGACAAGCATTTCCCTACACAGTACTACTAGTCGATACATGTACACGCTCCTGGAAGACAATAGAACTCCTGCTAGTTTCTGTGTTGGAGTCTGCCGTGAGTTTGGCGTGGTATTCTCGAACGCTCAGGATGAGGCGTGGTCCCAGCACAAACAACTGCACGACCAATAAAACTGGAACATCACCACTGAGTATCGAAACATTCATATTCTACAAAAATGATGAGCAGTGGTTACACGCAGATGTCAGCAACAGGTCAGCGCACCGAGGTTTCTGGAGAGATATAAACAAACAGAAGAGAAAAGAAAAAGCTAACCATGTACGGAACTTGAGCAGAAAATTATGATCGCATTCACATTACAAGCTCACCTTGCAAAATAGAGAACGTGAAATTGTATCAGGACTCTGAAACAGTCCCCGATGGTTGATCCTGTCGATATGCCGAGTCGTCGCAGGTTACGGAAATGTTTCACAGCAATCCAGACTGAAAGGCAGAGTGCGAGGACCTCCCAAACAGTGTTGAGCATCCAAATCATAGAATACAGAAGCTGCTCATCCCCACTCATTCCATAATTGCACACATACGTGCCAGAGAGTATCAACTCCCCTGGTGTTTATCCAATCAGCCATGTTCTGTAAGTCGACAAGTGGAACGTACCCCCTACAGTATGCTTTAGTATTATCACCAAGATCACTCCGCAGGCGATGTTCACAACCAGGAACATAATAACAAGGAAGATAAGCATCTTTCTAGATCCCTGATACATGGCATGCAACCGAGCAACCATGATGACTTGCATCGTGTATCAGTCAGGTCAACATCACAGAGGTGTTGCACCCGGGTGACTCACCGCCTACCATTCCGGTCACGACCTCATTTATCCAACATACTGCGGAGTACGTGATAGTGCCTAAAACTCGCAATCAGTGAACACCCTCGCACTAGTATTAAAGACTCCGACTTACACCTATCGAGTCGTTATGTTGAGCCAAGTTTAATGGTTGGAATCTCACTCACCCCTACATATGAGCGTATTGATTGGATGGGAATGGGATGCTTGCAGAATACTTACTGCATCTGTCAGCGATACCGATGGCATATATTCTGTGTCTCGCCGGTCAGAAAACTGAAATACAGCACATATGAGACATACCCAGAAGAGTAACACTAGTTGTCAGAGATGAGCGATTAGCACAGTGCAAAGTTGTTGGTCTCGACACATACACAGAATATGGTATTCCAATATAGCGTATCTAGATCATTTTGGAGTCAGCACAAGTTGCCCATCATGCTAAAGCACAACATGAGGTACGAACAATCAAATACAGCACAGTCATGAGAGACCAGCGTTGTCTCTGTCGCGAATTTATTGCATGCTCTTGTTTTCTCCTGATACAGGACTCCTGTCACTCACCCAGATGAATTCAATCTATGATACCATTCTTAGCGAGTTGACTGCTCCGGCGACACCATCAACGTACCTCTTGTCCGAGTGTCAAGACTGGCAATATCATGAGAATATCAACAATTTCGAACACTATCCTGCTCACCCCAATCATATACTACCACAACGCAGGCAGCAACTGCGAAATGGCAAGTTAATGTTAGATCGAGACTCATCATGATGTGACGAACACATCCAATAGCTGGAAATAATATTCAAATTGATCTGGGGCCACCAACTGGGATCATTTGAGACGAATGTCATGTTTGAGAGATGGGTGAGCGAGTGAGAAATGTCAGTGGTGTCTGACGATAGCGTGTGTGTTAGATTTACCAACCGTTCGGCCCTTGTATCACTAAAATTAGCATGTTAAAGATGTAAATTTGATCTCACCTCAGGAATCCAGTGCCCTTCAAGTTGATCAGGTGAAGAAAACATCAGTTAGCCGCTGAACAAATGATTATCAAGGGTATTCAAAGCCATATATCGTAGACATCACAAAAATCTTCGTAAATCTGCTGCCTATTTTCATGAGAATGTTTGTCGTCATTGAGAAAAGACTCACTTGAATGAAACCAGCACAAAATGAAGCAGCACAGGCTCATATGAACCCAGACTCAGAGGGGGAGGTTGGAATGCGTTAAGGTGAAGGACAGTTGAGTCAGCGACGTTGAATAGTTGTGCTGATTCGTGTCGTTTGGTCTTCAAGAAGTATTTCGCTGCTAGCGGAGAATAGTAATACAGTGTGATAACAAGATTGCGCTTGATTACAATAGTCATGGCTACAATACCAGGGACTCGCTGGTTTACTGATGCGTAGTCTTTGATCTAAACTATGTAGCTCAATGACAATGCTGCGCTACCTTCGGTGTTTGCCGAAAGTCGAAAAATGACAGCTACTAACGTTCAACAAATTACTGTGCTCAGTTGGACTTTGAATTCCTTTGTACACTACGAAGATACTTCAACCCTTTTCACCTGCTTCAAAACGTCTAATTGACAACTTGCCTTCCAATGTATGACCCCAAAAGAATTGGTACGGCTGTTGGAGACGGCTTGTTTAGGGTGTCTGGTTTTGACCAGTTGTAAGTTGTTACCCACTACTATTGGCGACATATGCTAGCCTGACCGTCGATATATCAGTGTTCATGCGTCCGTTGACCCCAAGCATAGCACCATTATACTTTCAAATATTCTCGCACCTCTCAGCACCATCGGAATTGGAGCCACGTATGTACGTTCATTCTCTACCTTTTTTGTAGGGAGTCGACACGATAATGATTCTTTCAGACTCCCTGTGCACAAAGAGGTGCTTGTTCGTCCATACGTTTCCCAGTCTTGAACACTCCTCCCTTGGTCCCTGTCGTGGTATTCGCTTAATTGTTGGTCCACGTCTAGACCTATACTTGCCCCGACCCCACCCAAGAACGATCAGCCCATTCGTCATGTTTTTCAATGCTCGAAGTAAGCATTTCTATGGGCTGTCGTCTAGTATATGCTCTGACTCCATGCGACCCACTTTTTTCCCGTAGTCCAACTATACGGGTATCCCAGATGGACGATAGGGAAATTGTGATCTCGATGAAGAACCATTGCTTTATCGGCCATCTGGGCTTCTGCGAATCTTTATTTTCTTTTTAAATCCCTTGTTCTCCATTCGCCCGCGTTCGCTGACTGGTACAGATGGATGAGCAGGATTGTTGCATGACCAGCTGTCTGAACTGACATGCTACTCCGGTTGACAGTGATCAATGATGATGGCATTAACAGTTGAGTCCATGTCATGATCTGGTTCGATGCATGCTGACAGACTTGATACTTTCTTTACGCGTATCAACAGATCACAAGGACCTGAATAGAAACACGACGCAAAATTCTAAAATCACCGACTTCCTTTTCTTCGTTGTTTGTGCTCAGACAGTCGATAATCAGGGAAATCATCATTCTCGAGCTATCAGCTGTCTGAGCTCAGGCACGCTAGTTTTACTTTCTGATTCACAGCACTTTTGCATTGTGTTCCATATGCCTGGCCCAGATGCATTATTCAGCGGACCGATGTGTTATTAGCTGTCTGTGCTTGTACAACCATTCTCGCTTCTCACTTTTTTTTGCCCAGACAGTTAGGATACTTTGTCAGTGCAATTTACTCTCTGCTCACCACACCTCATCTCCTTGCCATACGCATCTATGGCAGAGGTAAATACTCAAGCCTGAGTCTCTCAAAATCATCATACTGTACATCGTTGAATCGTGCTGGACCACAGACAATTGTTAGCGTTGAGTTGGTTCAATCAGACAGTCTCCAGGTTATCAACTCCCTACTTTCCAGGCATTCTGGCTGATCAGACGCAACATCACTCATCTGTGGTGTCGGACTCGCTCAGGTCGCTTCTTCTTTTGCTTTGCTCGGGCACTGCATGACAGAGCCAGTGCGATTTGGTCAAAGTACGTATATCAGAATATCTTGGTTGGCGCCTCACTGATACTTCCCAGGTGCGCTTGATGCCTTTCGACTTGAAGCCCCGAAATCTCTTCTCTACTCAGCACTCAGCACTTGTCATCTCCCTGCCATGCACATACTCACCCCGTAAGTCTCTTCTTATACTCAGTATGTTTGAATCATGTGTCTGACCCGTTCTGCTACGCTCTCATGCACAACCCTTAGCCATTCGACAGAAAGGGCTCGACTCATAGTTAGACCTTGTGGAGAAGGACCATCAGCGAGGGGACTATTGGCCTCCCAGGCACGCCTTGAGGCAAACATGTATGTTTCCCTCGATAAAAAACTTGGAATGCTAACATACTATAGTACGTTCATTGTTCCGCTATCGTTCATGTCGTCATCCTAATAGGATATCATTTCTGAACGCCTGATCTAACCCGGCATCTATTCTAGGCTATCCTTCTTTCAAAGACAACTTCCCGCCATCGATATCACCGGTCACTGGCACCCACAGGTCCTTTTCCTTATTGGTCGTTGCAATTCGAATTATTGTCGAAATTTCTCCCGTTTTCCTGCACGCATGTATGTCTGTGTCTTGTTTGATGCCTTACTCTAATGTATATGGTCATGCTTAGCAAGGGCTCCAACAGAATATCGTGGCTGAAGGCCTCATTAGTAGTTTGATAGGTACGCTTGAGGCCTTCTGACTTGAAGCTTTGATTCTCTAATGCCACACTCAGCAGATCTCATCTCCTTGCCATACTCATTTGTCGAGCCACGAGTCCGCGCAATTCATTCATTTTCCTTCTTCATGGCCTGGATGGATGAAAATGCATCTCAGACTAACGAGCTATCAGCTGTCTGGGCACTTACACTGATCATCATTGCATTTCAATATTTAGCATCAAGGTCCGCGTTGATTGCTACATAATTTTAGCTTACCATTTTAGGTGAGTAGCTACTTCGTTCCAGTAGTGATGCAACAAGAAATAGGTTTTCCTAGACCTTTCAGATATACCTGCATCTTCGCTGCATCAAAGCACTCATTTCCTTTTCTTCCAGTCTGGGACATGCTCTGCCTAACCCCGCTGACTTGCTCGAACCCGCCTCACATCATGATTTTAATCCAACCTCTTTCTTGCTGTAGGCTGATGCATGGATGATGGGACTCAATCATCGGCTCCTTTTCTGGGTACCTCCTGCTTCCCGACATGCATTTTATGTTCCTTGGACTTCATCGGTGATACCCAGGGGATATCTTGAGCTTGATTTGAGCCGCATAGCACATGGAACGCACTGGTCGAGTTGCCGAGATGCGTGAGTTCTTAGTCTTTTCCGTCCTCGCGGTTACTAACGTTGATCCTGCTAGCTCGACGTCACAATAATTTTATCGTTTGTAATATCGGGTGCCCGGTGTACAATTTGATTATTTAATTCCTTGATTCCTTGTCAATGTCATACCTAGCACAGAACCTGAATTTATGATTGTCCGGATAAATAACAGCGAGTCGGTGTAAGTGGTACTGTCAGAAGCTATCGATATTTCAGTTTTCAACTACACCAGATATCTAAAACCAATCGGATCTCGAAGCTCATTGATATCGTTCACATCCTGCTCGTTCCTCTCGATCTGCTCGTTCAAGTGCTTCAGATACAAATACATACCACCAAACATCCCTGTCGACACTCCGAGTGCAGCGATGCAGATGGCATAGGAATAACGATATGTCGGGCCCCAGCTCGACGGCCATATGTACCTATGCGAACAGTGTAGTGAATAGTTAGCGAGAGCAAGAGATCGGTGACAGCGTCACTGACGCTCCAATAACACTGCCTGTCTGCCCCAGTGCGTTCATCAGAGCGATAGCAACGGCGCGCTTTGCAGGTTCTCTGGCGAAAGTATTGCTGATCCATCCAAAGAGCAGCAAGTATCCACTGATGACTTGAGCCATCAGGAACCTGTATATTTCTGAGTACAAGACTGGCGCCCCACGAATGGCGATACCACTTACAGTGAAATATAGCGCGCAGCCTTGTCCATCGTGAAGATTGATATGATGAATGCAAGGATGCAGAGTGCATTGGAGACCATGAAGCATTGGTAACGCTTTTTCTTCTTGTCAGAGTACCTGGTCCCCGTGAGATGTGACTTTGCGATAGAAATGATTGACTAACCATGTAAGAGCAAATGCGATCATACCCCCGAACACCCACGGAGGAGCGCAAAGCAACAGCGTTACAGTTGTGTCATATCCCAGTGTCGCGCACAGCGTTGGGAAGTAACCGCCGAAAGACTGCCCCACTATCTGGAACATAGTTGCAAATGAAAAGAACCACACCTTCCAGTCAGACACGGCATCCCGCAGTCCTTGCATGGTCGTCTGTTTCCCAAGTTCGTCAGCATTATCATGATCATCTTCTGCGAGGCGAGAGATAGCGAGTTCTCTTTCCTCCGGGGTGAACCACCTGGTGTTGTACGGGAAATCAGGGAGTATGAACATCGCGCAGATCGCGACCGAGATGGTGATTCCGCCTTCGATGTAAAATAACCATCTACATATTATTCAGCTTCAAGGAGCGATAGAAACGATCGCCACCTGCCTCCATGCGGCTTGACCAAGTTTGTCCTGCATGTCGTGAAGTATACCAGATGCAAGCAGCGATCCGAACGCAGCGCTGAGGAAAATTCCACTAGAAACGAGAGCTATTCTCAAGGCGACCTCGTCTCGCTTGTACCATTTAGATACAAGAAATACGACACCGGGGAAGAAGGGAGCTTCAGCAAGGCCAAGAAAGAAGCGGGCGACAACAATCCCAGTATAACTTGAGTCAAACTATCAGAAACAGGATCTGAACGATGCAAAACAAGGAAGTGTACTTTGTTGTGGTCCCTGAGTATAGTCAGCAGCCATCTTCATGAAGGGTCAGTGTCGACAAACCTGACAATATTGATATTGTACCCCATACTAACATACAGCACGGAAGGATGACAGAAGGTCTCTCCAGCCAGTGTAGGATCATATTCCTGAAAAAAAAATATGTTCGGTTGTCTCTCGATGAAGGAAAAAACTCACCCAGGCACTTGCATTGTAATGTATCCAACAGATAGGATGGACAAAGTTGTGGCGTATTGTTCCCCATGCAAGTGCAGGTCTTTCTCAAAACCTTGTAACCGAGCGTTGCTACAGATTTCATAAGATTCGTGCAAGTACGACAGTATGTCACGCACCTAATATTGGTTCTGTCAATCTAGGGTGCACAGTGAGATCAAAATAGAGTTTGCAAAGACCTTAGACCTCAGACTCACTAAGTTCAAGGCATATAAAATCAGTATTATGGACATACGCAAATCGAGCTTCCTCAACAATCTCCTCTCAAGGTCATCACGAGTATGACAGCGGACACCAGCGGACACGTCATCGATCATGACGACGGCGTCAACCGTTTTTGGATCGCTGAGAGTGGGCATCCTTGAGGGGAGGGAGATAACGCAGCATGTGGGGTTGCATCTCTTATCGATACGTAGGAAGAACGGTACCGATTTGATTACAGCTGGATGTGACCAATGCTGGATGAAGCAACTGGGTGACGGAACTGCGCGGCGAGAAGTTAGAACGTACCCATCATCCGGCAGAAGCCCCGACGTGCCAGGACCAGATTGTGTGACACGAGCGTGACAGAGTTCAGATAACTCCTGCCGAAAGGCAATAAAATGAGCGGAGTAGTGCAGTAGAGAATGATATGACGGGGTAGCATAAAACCATGTGCAGGTAGCTAGAAATTAGTATTTTGAGTAATGAGGTATATCACAATGAACTGGCCAGGAGGACACGAAATCATCAATTCCTTCGATATTAATATATATACCCTCGGGCAGAATACAATGACCGTGATACTTCTTGAAAGCTTGATGCATTGATGGCCCATGTGGCTTGCACTCCGTTGTCAAAGACCATTTTGGTATGCGTCAATAAACCTAAAAGGTCTAACCCTAACTTGGAATGCTAAATCTGATTTCCACGGTTCGTGTCGTCGTCCCTTTGTCCGTCACGCGGATTGTCTCTAATCCAACACGCGTTTCCCTCAACTTCTCGCCATCGATACACCTCGCGTCGTTCAAGTGACCGTTTGCCTGCCCTAGGACTGTAATCGATTGATCGATGCCAATTGGTGTACGTATGCATGTTTCGTTAGTGCTTTACTTTGATGATCGTGCTTAGCAGGGGCTTCAGCAGACCTCATCTCGAGCTTGTCATGCTCATCTAGGCTTCTGCGAAGAGTCTTCATTTACAAAAACAAAATTTCCCCCTCGTCTTCCATTCGCTAGTGTCCACCGACTGGTCCAGATAGATGAGCTGGACCGTTGCGTGCCCAGCTGTCTAATCTTCGATACGCTGTCTAGAGTGCCCGTGATCAATTGATCAGCTACCTGGGCTTCCATGGATTGCGCCTCCTTCGTTCTTTGCAATCAAACAGCTGATACACGCTACTTTCCGCAAGTGTGTAATAGCTGTCCAGGCTCATGCACCGGCACGACCTGGGTGAGCAGATAACGACTTATTGAAGTGAAGTGTATACTTTCAAGTGGTTATCTCTTCGCTCCAGGGCGACTCTGATCGATACGAATGGGAGTATTTTATGCATGCGACTATCGCGTTTGGTGCTTTACTTCGACGATCATACTACTTGCCAGGATGGAAACAGATCGTTGCAAAGGCCCTAATATAAATCTGCTTTGACTTTTGTATGTATGCATTCCAGAATCTTGTGGTCGATACCTTACCGACACTTTAACAGGTATACTCACCATGCTCGATGTCCTTGCCATAGGCATTCGTGATATACTCAAGCCATCAGTTTCTTTTTAAAAACCGATCACACTCAGTATCGTTGAATTTTACTTGACACAAACGATCATCGTTGATATATTTCAGTGATGCGTTAGTTCATGCCAACAGCAACGTTCACAATGACAATTAACTTGAGGTCTTCTGACTTGAAGGTCCGATTCTCTGATTCTCCATCCCAACTGAGCAGAGTTCATCTCCTTGGCTTATTCGTGACAGTTGACGCATGAATCCGCGCGATTCTTTCATTTTCATTCTCCGTGCGCGGGATGGATGAAAATGCATCTCAGATTCATGAACCATCAGCCATCTGGACTTCCTGATTCCCGGTCACTTCGTCATCATCTGTGTGCTCAAGCAGCAGAACTCTGCAAACGCGTGGAATCTGCTGACGAGGTAATATGTCCTAATTCTCATTGTATTTCAGTATCGAGCATCGAGGATTTGGTTGGCTGTTAGACGTTCCGAATAATTTCGGCTGGTGACTTGGCGCAAATGTAGGTGGGTAGTTCACTTCCAGTAGTAATGCAACGAGAAATAGATTTGCCTAGACGGTCGACTTTTTAAATATACTTCAAAACACCATATGTTACATCAATACCACGACGAATCTTCAACCAAATTTCTCCTCCTCGGCAAGTATGTCTGTCTCTACACGGTACTGCTAGTCGATATATGTACACGCTCCTGGAAAACAATCGAATTCATACTAGTTTCTGCATCGGAGTCGGTCACAACTTTGGCGTTGTATTCTCGAACGCTAAGGATGAGGCGTGGTCCTAGCACAAACATCTGCACGATCAATAAAATTTTAAGAGCACCGGGGATTATCTGAGCTTGAATAGAATCTGAATTCTACAGACACAATGAGCAGTGACTACACGCAGATTTCAGCGACAGGTCAGCGCACCTGGAGCTCTGGAGAGAGATAAGTAAACTGGAGGCAAGAGACACAAACAAAGCTGACATGCGCGGAACTTCAGCGGAAAAGATCACCCCATTCGAATTACAAGCTCACCTTGCAAAATAAAGCACGTGATATTGTATCAGCACTTTGAAACAGTCCCCGATGATCGATCCTGTCGTCGATTCGAGTCGTCGCAGGTCACGGAAGTGTTTTACAGCAATCCAGAGTGAGAGACACAGTGTGAGGACCTCCCAAACGATGTAGATAATCCAATTCATTGAGGGCAGAAGCTCGACGTCTCCCTGATATTCGTAATAACATATATACGTGTTGGATGATAGTGTCACTTCGGATATTTGTCCAATGAGCTGTGTGCCCCAAGTCAACAAGTAAAGCTCACCCCATGAAGTTTGCTCAGTTAGCAATATTACCATGATTGCTCCGGAGGCGATGTTAACAACCAGGAAGATAGTAACAAGGAAGATGAGCATCTTTCTAGAACTCTGATACATTGCATGTAAGCGAGCAATCATGATGACTTGCATCGCGTTTCAGTCGAGTCAATATCACTGAGGTATTGCGGCTGGGAAACTCATCACCCAACATAGCATATACGAGCATATTTGTCGCATTTATTGCGTAGCTCATTTCATTACCTGAGACACCCGATTAGTGAGTACCCTCACAAGTACTGATATCGAACAGTCCGACTCACACCTATTGAGCCATTTATGTTGAGCCAAGTTCGATTCAGAATTTCACTCACCCCTACATATGATTGTATTCATTGGATAGTAATGAGATGGTCGTGGAATACTCACTTTATCTGTCAGCGTGCCGAATGGCACAGGTTCTGTGTTCCGCCAGTGAGAAAAATCGGACACAACATATATGAGACATACCCGGAACATCAGTACTAATTGTCAGAGGTGAGCTGTTAGCACGGTGCCACGTTGTTGGCCTCGACACGTACATAGCATATGGTATTCCCATATAGCGTATCTAGAACATTGAGCAATCAGCACAACTCACCAAACACGATATATCATCATGAGGTACGAACAATCAAATACAGCACAGTCATGAAAGACCAACGTTGCTTCTGTCGCGAAATCATTGTATTCTCCTGTTTTTCTTCTGATCCTGTTACTCACCCAAATTAGTTCAATCTATGACATTCTTAGTGAGATGGCTGCTCCGGCAATAACACCGACATATATATATACCTCTTGTCCGAGTGTCAAAACTGGAAATATCATGAGAATACCACCGGTTTTCGAACACTGTCCTGCTCACCCCAATCATATACAACCACGACGCTGGTGGCAACTGCGAAACAGAAAGTCAATGGTAGATCAAGACATCTTCATGCGACCAACTTGTCCAATAGCTGAAGAAAAAGTTTGAGTTGTTTAATAGCCACAAATTGGGGTTGTTTGAGATTACGGTCATATTCGAGGATGAGTGTGAGCGAATGAGGAATGTCAGTGGTGTATGACGATAGCGTTCGTGCTAGATATACCACCATTCAGCGCTTGCATCGCCAAATTTAGCATGATGGAAGATGGATATTTGATCACGCCTCAAGATTCTTGATCGGGTGAAGTAGTAGGTATTGCGGTGCGAAATCAAACAAAAAGAGGAAGCCCTCGATAATCAAAGTAGAGTTTGATTTACAAACCAGTATTATGCACGCAACTAGTACACGGACGCCGGGAAAGGCCATTGACGTTGAGGTGTTCCGTACGGAAGCGTGTAGCCATCAACCTAACACAGGTCTAAGCGTGATGCTGATCGTAACAAGCATCAGGGTCTCGCTGGCCAAAGCTGGAGACTTACTAACAGCTCCCAAAACTGCTTTTTGTCAGCAAGGTCGCATCCCATTCTGTCACATGGCACCGACAGCAGCGCAGTATATTCGGTGCATCTGATCGTGCGCTTGATGAGATGGTGACCAGTGATGTATAGCACTGGTGGATACACCATCCATACTAGATCGAAAGAGAAGTCGCACATGAGAGAAAATAAGCCTATATCACGTAAGAAGCCCTGATTTCTGATTGTACAGTATCGTTGATGACCCAGGGCGCAAACATGAAGCCCACCAGCTGCTCTGCCGCAGCTGCACCTGCTGGAGGTCGACTGCCTTTTGGAACATCTCTGCTCCATCTTGCTCCATCTCTTGCAACATGCTGCCGAGTTTAATCGTGCGACCAACTTGTCCAATAGCTGAGGAAAAGGTTTTAATCGTTGAACAGCCACCAACTGCGATCATTTGAGACTACGGTCATATTGGAGGGATAAGTGTGAGCAAATGAGGAATGTTGGTGGTGTATAACGATAGCATTAGTGCTAGATATACCACCATTCAGCGCTTGTATCGCCAAAATTAGCATAGTAGAGATGGATATTTGATCCCGCTTCAAGACCCTTGATCAGGTGAAGTAAGTATTGCGATGCGACCCTCGATGATCAAAGTAGAGTTTGATTGCAAACCAGTATTACACACGCGACTACTTGAACCAGGAAAGTTCCAGCAGTTGACAGTGCCTACCACTTGTTTCCAATGCGATTTTGGGGTAAATTTGTAAAAATCAAGGAGTTCCTTGTGAAAACATGTAGTCATTGATATAACACTGGTCTAAGCGTGATGTGATTGAATGAAGCATGCGCACTCTCTTCGGCCTCGCTAGCCGAGCTCAAGGCATAACAGCCCTCGGATTACTCTTGGCCATTCTGCGGTATGGCACCAGAGAACTCAGACAAGCGTGACATAGTGGCTGAAATATATCTCACCTTATCCGTCACCTGAAACGCTTGAATTGTTGAGCTATCACGATTATATCAAAACGCTAAACAAAGAGATCGTAAGCATAGAGCAAATTCAATGCAAAGCGCACTGTATTCAATGCATCGCACTGGCAGATAAATCCTGATTCATGGTTGATGTCTGTTGAGTACTTCTACGACACCATCCCCAAATCAAAAGGGAAATTGCACACGGGAGACAATGATAGGCCTGTAACACGCTAGAAGCCCGATTTCTGATTGATGGCATTGTGTTTCAGTGAACTTCTATCCTGTAAGAGTGAGATCTGTCAAATGGGAAAAGAAGTCATGGGAAGACTAGACGTTGGAGCAGGGCCAACCTGTGATGATGAGCTTAATTCAATGGCCCAACTTGCTACGAACATGATAGTTTACATGCTGACTAAGCTGCGGAAAGGACCTTGGAGACAAACAGTCCCTTGGGGCCAGGGCCTACTCAAACTTAGTTCAATATCAGATATCAGGGAGCTGGTTTGTTGCCAGGTTATTCCAGATAATTTCAACTTGCCACTTGGTGCAAATTTGGGTGGGTAGCTACTTCAATCCAATAGTAATGCAACAAGAAATAGGTTGGCGTAGATCTTTTAAATATACTTTGAAACACGATATGTTAAATAAATATCACGACAGATCCTCCACCAATCTCTCCTCCCTGTAGACCACTGGGCAAGTATGTCCCTATACAGTACTGCTCGTTGATACATGTACATGCTCCTGGAAAACAATCGAATTCATGCTAGTTTCTGCATCGGAGTAGGCCACAAGTTTGGCGCTATATTCTCGAACACTAAGGATGAGGCGTGGTCCCAGCACAAACATCTGCACGCCCAATAAAATTTGAACAACACTACTGAGTATCTGAGCTCCCATGGATGATGAATTCTACAGAAACAATGATCAGTGGTTACACGCAAATGTCAGTGACAGCTCGGCGCACAATGAGTTCTGGAGAGAGATAAGCAAGCTGGAGGCAAGGGACACCAAAAAAGCTAAAATATGTGGAACTTGAGCAGAAAAGATGGCCGTATTCACATTACAAGCTCGCCTTGCAAAATAAAGCACATGAGATTGTATCAGCACTCTGAAACAGTCTCCGATGGTCGATCCTGTCGATGGGCCGAATCGTCGCAGTTCACGGAAGTGTTTTACAGCGATCCAGATTGAAAGACACAGTGCGAGGACCTCCCAAACAGTGCTGAGGATCCAAGTCATTGAAAACAGAAGCTGGGTGTCTTGCGCAGATTCATAAGCACACATATATGTACCAGAGATTATCCACTCCTCTGGTTTTCGTTCAATGAGCCGTGTTCTTCAATTTAACAAGTAAAGCTTACCCTCTACAGTATCCTTGAGTGCTATTGTCATGATGACTCCGGAGGCGATGTTAACAACCAGGAAGACAATAACAAGAAAGATTAATATCATTCTAGACCTCTCATACATGGCATACAATCGAGCAATCATGATGACTTGCATTATTGTTGGAGTCGAGTCAATATCACAAAAATATTGTAGCGGGGTAACTCACCACCCAACATAACGGTTAGGACCACAGTCGTCCCATTCGTTGTGTAGTACAAAATGTTACCTGAAACACCTCATTAGTGAACACCCTCATAAGTACTAATATAAGACACTCCGACTCACACCTATTGAGTCGTTATGTCGAGCCAAGCTCGATGTCCAGAATTTCACTCACCCCTACATATGAGTGTATTAATTAAATAGTAATGAGATGGTCGTGGAATACTCACTGCATCTGTCAGCGAGACAAATGGTACAAGTTCTGCGTGCTGGCAGTCAGAAAAATCGAACAGGGCGCATATTAGACATACGTAGAACATTGGCACTAATTGTCAGAGATGAGTTATATTAGCACGGTGCCAAGTTGTTAGCCTCGACACATACATGGAATATGGTATTCCAATATAGCGTATCTAAAACATTGGGGAGTCAGCACAACTTGCCAACCACGATATAACACAGCATGAGGTACGAACAACCAAATACAGCACAGTCATGAGAGACCAGCTTTGCTTCTGTCGCGAATTCATTGTATTCTCCTGTTTTTCTTCTGATCTTGTTACTCACCCATATTAGTTCAATCTATGACATTCTTAGTGAGATGGCTGCTCTGGCAATAACACTGACATACCTCTTGTCCGAGTGATAGAACTGGAAACATTGTGAGAATATCGGCGGTTTTCGAACACTGTCCTGCTCACCCCAATCGTATACAACCACGACGCCGGCGGCAACTGCGAAACCGTAAGTCAATGTTAGATCAAGACATCTTGACGCGACAAACCTATCCAATAGCTACTACAGATGTTTGAATTGATTATCGGCCACCAACTGGGATCATCTGAGACTACAGTCATGTTCGAGGGATGGGTATGGGCAAGTGGGGAATGTTGGTGGTTGTGCTAATAGCGTTCATGCTACAGTTCAGCTCTTTTATCGCCGAAATCTGTATGTTGGAGATGAATGTTTAATCCAACTTATTTCCAATTCATTGTAGAGGTGTTCCGTATGGAACCATGTGGCCATCAATCTAGCACAGGTCTAAGCGTGATGCGATCGTAACATGCATCAGCACTCTCTTTGCCAAGCTGGCCAAGCTCGAGACTTACTAATAGCTCCTTTTTGTGAACAAGGTCGCATTCTGTCGCATGGCACAATGCCAGACAAGAAACACAGCAGCGCACTATATTCGGTAATCCGGTTATGCACTTGATGAGATGGTACTGTATTGCACTGGCAGACACATCTTGACCCATGCTGTGTGATTGATATCTGTTAAATACAAGACGTCATCCATATTAGATTGAAAGAGAAGTCGCACATGGGAGAAAAGAAGCCTACAGCATGCAAGAAGCCTCGATTTCTGATTGTACAAGCTCGTTGATGGCCATTGTATTTCGGTGATGTTCTTCAGGCCCGACTTGAGTTGTAGCTGATATATGTGTCCATAGCAAGATCTGTCAGATGAGCAAAGGACGCCATTGTCGGACCTTCGTCATGCTCAGCAATTTCGTGGGTAGGCTTTATAATATATTGTTCAGTCTCATGTTGAATGTATGTATCACAGATAATGTGCAAGAGTCATCAGGCCTACCGCAAAATGAATGAGGTTGGTACAAGTGGGGTAGGTAACATGGCCAGTCATAAGACCATGGCGCACTATTCATCAGAATTGCTAAAAAATAAAGTGTGCCAGCTAAACGGCTTTGAACTGAATATGCATACGCACTGTGACTTCCACCCACCATCCCGGTAAACGCTTAAGTTTCTTCTCTAGGAAATGCACTTGACTTTGCGTTGGACAGGCCGCCTCGGATTCTGTATCCCTCCACAATACTAACAACAGCACCTTTCCCGGCGACGACATACACTCCGCTGGGATATTCTCTGAGTCTCCAACCACCTTTCCAAGTGCCATAGAGCAAACGCGAAGACCGAAATATATCTTGACAAATGTAAGGGAATTCATGGCGATAAAGACATTATCGTCTGGTAAAGTTCTGTCCGGCCAAATTTGCTTGAAAGAAATGGTCCCTATGTCCCAAAGTTCCTTCTTGATAAGGGGAAAACCGAACAGCTGACGGTTGCCGCATGGAGCCCGGGGAGGCCTTACAAGAACGTACTGAGATACGTCTGAGCTGTATCTAGAGGGCCCCCCATTGCACTACAGTAGACGTTTCTTGTGAGTTAGACTTTGAAGTCTTTGGACAAAATGAGTGGCAGTACACGTCAGATAAATTGATGAAGAAGTAACTCACCTGAAGGTCCCTTAGACTTTGTTCCAGTTGGCTTGTATTAGAGGTCATTTTCGAGCTCTGCACTGTTCAGTAAATAAAATAAACTTGACTGAATGCCACTGATGCGGAATTTCGACGTGGGATTTGCATTATACATGTGTTCGGTAAAGGCACTAAACGCGCTGCTGAGTATGATGGTCCAGAGAAAAAACTGGCCGCTTTGAGGCAGAAGGTTCAAGGCGCACACGATACTGGACACGATAAATCAATAATAGCAGTGTTTGCAGGCGCGCACAAAACATATAGTACGAAAGATACGGAGTCTCCGTCTGTTCCCGGTCAACATTGAACTCAGCGCTTTGACGTCACTTCGGCAATTGCCGAAAGTCGATGCCAGACTGCAATTCAAGCAAGTAACCACGGGGCGTTATATGTACCTACACCCCTCGACATTTTCACTACAAAGCCATCTGGACAGCACGATGCAAGCCAGCTATATACAAACCCTAGTACTCAAAGGTTACGCTACTTCTACTATTCGGGACACGACGCTGATGGTAGTCCAGAATTACAACTTGGAGACATGCAGCCCATCTATAGATTGAACAAATCAGACAGATTTTCTTCACAGTCGCTCTCCTCATCGTTATCTCTTTTGGACTCTGCGCACTTCAAACGCCAAGTTTCATGCAACCTCCAGAAGGTTTGGTGCGAGTCCCGAAAACGTCGGTTGTTCTGGACGCACGCGAGATCTGTGTCGCCGACAAATTCTACTGCATCCTTAATCCCAGGCCAATCCTCTAGCAGCCAACACATGTTGTCTTGAAGACCGGACAACTCTATTTCCCCGACGATGCTGAAAAAACAGCAGCGTTTGAGATACCCAAGTGCGTCCTCCACCCAATTATGGCTATTCCAGCAGGGAAGATCGCGGACGATGGCAACTCTTGTAAGGAGTGTCTCCATGGAGTCGAGCTCCGTCCTGCTCACGCTTCCGACTATACAACTTCCACGCAAGTCCTCCGGGTTTTCGAGAGGTTGGTCAAGTCTCATATCGATGGCGTAGTCTTGGGAGTCTCCTGCGATCTGATACGTGTTTCCGATGCCAGGACTTGTTTCGACGTAGATAGCCCAGTGAAGTGGATAGGGCCGTCGGGGCTCTTCCTCGCTTCGCCAGAACTGGACAACTTGAACGTTATAGGGTTTAGTTTTTATTTCCGAAAATCGCTATAGGACTTGCTAAGTCGCAGTTCGCTGTATTTTACGATAGTGTGCTTATCAACAATGTAGACGACATGTTGAACAAGGATGGGAGTGTGTGAGGTTTGAATTCATCGGCGACTTGTATTTTATACCGAGGCCCTTGTGGCTTAAAATTTTCTTTTTAGGAATGTGGATGCAACGTGACGTTCATTGTGCTCGGTGACTATGCAATTTGGGTGGACCACTCATTATCTTCGCGATCGAACCACTTACAATAGCCCATTCAAATGCAATAGATGTCTTGGGCTCCACTGAGCTAAACCCTGCTAGCTCGCAAGTTCACACCCTCCCGCTCGTTATTGTTACTGATCATAAGGTGGATTCGAGATTGCGCCAAAATTGTCATTTTTCATACTCCGTGAATACTCTGAGCTTATCGACCTTAGTTCTGTTTAGTTGTCACAAAACAAGGCTTGGAGGTCGACGTGGTTCCATGCACCACAAATCGAAGTGAGGTCGTTTGGCAGAAATTTTAGGTATGACATGTTTTGGTGTGTGTAAACTAAAGGTGTCGTAGAATCAAAGGACATTGATTCGACTGCGAGCGAATGCCCCCGTCTTCGCTCAAGCCGCCCCAAACTCGGGTTATCGACATTTTTAGCCTACACCTATAACGTCAAAAAGTCAACCCATAGAAGGCAGCTTTGAGGTGGGCGTTGTTTTTTTTCTTTCAATTTGCAGATAATCAGTAAGGGAGTGGCCTCGCCACGCAGGATGGAACATAATCAACGGTACCGAATGGTTGACCTCGACGCGCCACTGTCACCGATTCCTTGAATTAAAAAAGGTGAACATTACCAGTAGCTGTTGGACGCGAGGTGTTTTGGGCTCACAGCATGTTAATGCGAAGATTTTGGAATGCAGAACATCTCATCCAATTCCAAGAGATTGGTAAGTTTATGTTCCACACGGCGCAGAGCCCATCACATACTGATGCATGGCACCCCGCTAGTGCACTTCAACTTCTGACGTGATCAGCCATATGACGATGGCCAGATTCTCTGGCAGAGCTTTGCATGGACCGTGTTTTGCATTTGCACTGGTAAACGTTATTGCAATGCGACTCAATCGTGGTATTAACTGTCTGCGACTCATACTGATTCTCGCTGTATTTTAGTATCAGCATCAAGGACTGGACGGTTCGCTGAGTTCCAGTAATAGTGATACAACAAGAAATAGGTTTGCCTAGACCCTTCAAATATACTTCGAAATACTATATGTTAAACAAATACCACGACGAATTCCCGTGCAGAACACTCGACAAGCATTTTCCTACACAGTACTGTTAGTTGGCACATGTACACGCTCCTGGAAGACAATCGAAGTCATGCTAGTTTCTGCGTCAGAGTCGGCCACGAGCTTAGCATGATATTCTCGAACGCTAAGGATGAGGCGTGGTCCCAGCACGAACATCTGCACGTTCATGTTTCAGTCGAGTCAATATCACTGAGGTATTGCGGCTGGGTAACTCACCGCCCAGCATGGCAGCCACGATAATGTTTGTTCCGTTTATTATATAGTTTATGATAATGCCTGAAACACCCAATTAGTAATCACCTCGTATTAGGATCCAACACTCCGACTCACATCTATTGAGTCATTACATTGAGCCAAGTTCAATTTTCAGAATCTCACTCACCCCTGCACATGAGCGTATTCATTGGATAGGAATAAAACGGTTGCAGGATACTCACTGCATCTGTCAGCGAGACCAATGGCATATTTGCTGTGTGCCCCCGGTTAGAAGAATCAAACACATCGCATATGAGACGTACGCAGGACACTGACACTGATTATGAGAGAGGGCTATCAGCACAGTGCCAAGTTGTTGGCCTCGATACATACACAGGATGTGGTACTATTCCAACATAGCGTATCTAGAATATTTGGAATCAGCACAACTGCTATAGCATAGCATGAGGTAGTACGAACAACCAGATACAGCATAGTCATAAGAGACCAACGTTGCCTCTGTTGTATATTTCACCTGATATATGAGGCTCTATCACTCACCCAAATCAGTTCAATCTATGACATCATTCTTAGCGAGTTGGTCGCTTCAGCAATAGCACCAACCTACCTCTTGTCCGAGGATTAGTGCTGGATATATCATAAGAATATCAGCGGCTTTTGAACAGTGTCTTGCTCACCCCAATCGTATACTACCACGACGCTGGCGGCAACTGCCAGACCGCAAGTCAATGTCAAATCGAGACATTACCACACGGTGATATGACGAACCCGCCCAATAGGTGAAAAATATATTCGAACTAATTATCGGCCAAAAACTGGGACTACAGTCATATTCGAGGGAGTGGGGGATGTAGGGAACGACTCGTCTAGTGTTTTAAGTCGTGCTAGATATCATCGGCGCTTGTATTGCCACAAGATGATCAACATACTAGTAATAATCATCAGGTGAACGGACCGACGGGAGTACTTACACCCAAACTTGTGATATGATATAACATTCTGGACCTTCCAGTTATCAGTCTCCATTTCCTTCAAGTTCGAAGTCTACCTTCATTAAATATTGACTGTGGAGTTTTCGCACTTCAGCGCAGGACATGGTTCGGTTCAAGGTAAAAATTTGGTTTTCAGCGGTATATAGCGTGCTCACTCATCTGATCAAACAAGAATCGCTGGCTCCTTGTCGAATTCGTTGACACGTCTACGGTGGACGCTTCCGCTGAAAGAGAGTCTTCAAGCACGCGACCTCTGGACGGAAGGTTGATCTACAACGCTCTTCGCGACAGCGTTGTGACGAACTTTGGCGACACTGGATGGGGAGCAGTAGGGATGTCGTTGAACGGTACGTATATCCTTTATCATACTTCAGCTTTTCATCTTAAACGACTACAGTTAAATATTTTTCACCGCTCACGAACCTTTGCATTATTCGCGTCGCACGAGATCAACATCGAATTGCATGGGGTGCAGTCACGCTTCTCACCAGCATCCACGATATCAGGATCATTCCGCGTGTTATTCATGTCTCAGGTAAGGTTGTGTTTTTGTGTGTCTGCCGTTCTTGAAACAAATTCTGGAATTGCCAACATATCATGTAGGCACCATCAAACATACGCAACTCTCTGCAATCGCACACAACCGAGAAGTTATTGCGCGGTTTCGAACTAAACTCAAAAATACCGGTAAGCATAGTGGATGCAGATGTGGGCGGCTTGCTCAATTTCTGTGTTGATATGTAGCACTCCATCATGACTCATATGACGACTATCTTGCGCGAAGTACTCGTGAGATAGAGGCTTTGCATGACTGAATCAGTCTGGGGTATCGTGACCCTTGTGACTCTGAGGAGCTCTTCAGCTCTCTCATTTTTGGTGGTGCGCTTTGAGCCCGCATTCTCAGATTGCTCCCAATATCCCCCCTTTACTGCACGAAACCGGGCTAGTGTCAGGAGTCAGCATGGTATATATACTTGCAGTCATTCGCGCGGCCTTGGCTCAAGAAGGCACGCATAGGAATTGTGTAGGAACAACGTAGGAATCACAAGCGAGGAGACGGAGGAGCAGGATAGGAATTTTGACGCGGTGTGTATGGCTACATTTCAAGTCGACTATAAGTGATGGTTCTAAAAACAATATCTTACAACTTCGACTCCATCCATACTCCTACACCCTCTCCTTCGGCCACATCCAGCCACTGTCTTTCGACTTCTTTTTCTCTTGCGACCCATGCCTGTACCCAGTCGACAATACCATCTACCAGTTTCTTTACATCGTCACGAGTGTGTCCTGCGTGCAAACATACTCTTACTCGGGATGTTCCCACAGGAACTGTTGGCCATGTGATTGCTTTTGTAAACAGTGGTTGTGGAAGGGAGGCCAGATGTGCAGCAAGGGAATGTGGATGAGGCGTGAGGAGAGGAATGATGGGTGTCGGAGGGGGAAAGGATGGATCGGACGAACTATTTGTGGAATCCTTATGATCATCCGTGCGTAGATGGCCAGGCAAGCAGAGTAGTTCGGGTGGAGCTGACTGTAGGTGGGGTCTTAGAAGCTCCAAGAAGTACCGTGATAGATCTAGGAGATGCAGCGCGAGCTGAGTCTATGTTAATAACAGGTTTACGAGCTTTCGGGATACGGCTTACCACTTCTGCACTTCCATTCTCCAGCATATCAAAGGCGCACTCGACGCCGATGATATTTGCATACGTGAGCGTCGTAGTGTATATCAGTGGACGGCCATAATTCAAGAGGTAATCTCGTATGAGTTCGGTAGTTAGTATCGCAGCTATATCGATGATCAGGATGTTGTGCAGCAATGTAAGTCACAAAAACTCGCACCTCCTGATCCCGCAAGCGCCTTCCCGAACGTATGCAAACGTGCCAGGACGCGTCCCTCGAGCCCTAGCGCAGCAACCATCCCTCGACCCTGCGGGCCATATATCCCTGTTGCATGCGCCTCGTCTACTATCACATATCCATTATTCCTTGGCAGCAATTCTTCGACGCAGTGCACGATTTCGTGCAAGGGGGCGAATGTCCCATCCATGCTATACAGGCTTTCCACCGCAACGAATGCGCTTGCTCTCCCATCTCGCAGATCATCTCGCTCGTGGAGTAATTTTCGCAACGATCGCTTGAGTGCAGCGACTGAATTGTGTGAAAATTTGATCAGGCTGGAGGGATCTACTCGCGAAGCACCCATCCCATCATGCACAGATGCGTGGATATGTTCATCGTATAGAATTACATCGCCAGGCTGAGGAATTGCGGAGAAGAATGCAACGTTTGCGTCGAAACCTGAGTTGAATAACAGTGCCTTTTCAGCGCCGAAGAATCTTTCCAGTCGATTTTCGAGGGCGACATGAGCAGGTGTTGGTACAAGCAACCGAGAACCACCTGATCCGAGTATTTTAGGGGCAGTGGAAAGAGCACTTTGGAACGCCGTGCGAAGGGTCGATGATGTAGCCAGAGAGAGATAGTCGTTAGATGTAAAATCTGCAGAGGGGAGCACTGGAGAGGCCGAGACAGGAAGACGTCGGCGAATGCGCCGCTTTTCTCGGGATGAAAGGGCAGCGGCGAGTTTATCGTTCAAAGATGACATTGTTGTACAATGATTGGATGTTATTGAACAAAGTACATGGGGCGATTAAGCTTTGGGCATGACGCAATTTGGCACCTTACATATTTTATTTTTGAACGGAGGTAGAACGGCCTTTACTATCTGACCTGGTACGATGGTGATCTTTATGATAGTACAGAGCTTACGGGAACGAGAATCTAATCCATTAGCTGCAGCTCAGAAAATCCTTACTTTACAGTTGATTAAGGGGATCAAATTTTTGGGAAGTTGTTTCAAAACTTTAAAAAAAATTGACTGTGCAAAATGTTGAGTATAACTCAATCAGTTTAAATTTACATCTGAGCGGGCTCTAGAAGCATGTGTGCCTGATAATCATCTTATGATCAACGGAGATGATTATGAGCATTAATGCGCCGTCGTTGGAAATATTGTCTAGCGTGCCTCGTGTCCAAGAGCCATTGGCAGTTTGGTCTAGAAAACTCGCAGAAATCCGAGTTATCTGCCCCTGCAAGTTATCGGACATGTCAGCATTGTAAAACCCTTAACAACCAACCAGGAAGGATTGGACATCTAATAATATGCTCCAATCTACGAGTAGTAGACGTCTCTGTGAACGCAGGATGACGTGCGAGGCACCCTTGAAAATGAATGATAAAATCTAAATTGTGCAGGGTTACCACGTACCGCACCTGTCAATCATATAATCGAATGATTATCAACGTAAGGCTCGCACCAAGCAGGACTAAGCTGAAATTTTGGCAGATTTTTCCCTCTTTTCTCACTTGGCGCGCTGTGCCAAATCCATGACGATATGATACAGGAGGCCCGGGTATTTCCGACCATTACAGCAGGGGACACGAGGGTGCTGAGAAGGTGCACGCCCGTCAAGATGATGAGAACGGGATATCACCATACCAAGCAATGTGTGGGAAAATACTGAAGAAGGCGATTGGAAAGTTGAGCTCGACACAGCAAAAATACATCCTATATCACTCACATCTGCAGGAATGGATGTTGGTATCCCAAACATCTATTCAATTACCGCCCATCAGAGTTTACTTACATACTTTTTAGACAGCGTCTAGCCTCATCGGATGAATGTAGTAATCACCCCTTGCTAAATGAATTGCAAAGTAACGCGCCGACCTTGCGGTTGGCAAACGTGTGCAAAACCAGGCTTGGAAAAAAACACCGCCCCGATCAGTCACCTCATCCTGATTATCTTGGACAATGGGATCCGACCTGAGTAACGCGACATGGCAATACTGGGTGTTCGGCGTGTATCGTCTTACCTCAAATGAGAATCCGCCATCCCATCCGAGTATTCACTGTGCGTGATGGATCAACCTGTTGGGTAATCATGTGTCCGGCTTCCGGCATTTCATCTGTAATACGAACTAGGAGGGCTGGTGAGGTATCAAGGCTTCAAGGTAGATGCAAAAGTAGGATACACACAGATGCAGCCCCTGGTATCTCTCATTTCATTGTAGACAGCATCAACTTTGACACCTTGACGTGAGCAGATAGACATGTAGAGACGGTACGAGTCGATGCGAATGCTTTGGCAACGAGAAAACGCAGTGACATATTTTGACCCTTAAGGGCCGCCTGTCCAAGTAGATGGGCCCCGCAACGCCAGTGTTGCTATACCCTGAGCACCCTTCAGCTGCAAAAAGCGAACGTCGTATTAACGTCACGGCGTTGAGGTAGTCTGGACTCTGTGTGCATTGATAAATCAGAAGCTACGTAGAAACTGGTTAGCATGTACCCTGATGGCCTTATAGGCCTTTCGTACGTCGCGTGTTGAGAATTTTGCATTTTGATCTCTAGTTTGCCAGCGGACGTCGGACGTTATGTCATAACGGTGACAGTTCGTGTGCGGTGCCGCGGTTTATATTATGTGGTCACCATTCCATTCTGTACTAGTACTAGGTGAAGTTGAACGGCAGTAAAATTTGAGTAGATAGCTGTCAGATTAAAATAATTACCTTTCTCTCTACGATGCCTGATGCGGATAGAAGCACTTCCACGAGCAAACGCGAAGAAATCATTAGCCAGCCATACCCAGTGGCTGGAGTGCTGGAGTTGTCGACCAGAACCAAATTTTGAGAGCTGGTTTCGGGATATTAGTTTACAGCCTGAAGAACATGCTGTCGGGGAGAGCTCACCAATGAAAGAACTCACTTCCTTGCTGGGGGTTCCCGTCTCACACATGAACGTAAAGCCATGATCATTTGAATTCCAGGCCAGAAGCAGATCATGCAGGCAGCCTATCCAAATGGAGTATGATGCGGTGCGATCGGTGGCTGAACAAGGTCACACCCGGCAGTGTATAATCATATCAGATCTACCCGCAAAGGGTAGTTCAAGGCAGGCGAAGTACTGCAACTGGAGAAGTTGACTTGACAGCAATCTGAGGGCAGTTCGGACGTATAATCCAGCCGAGATTAGTGTATTCCCTTTGTATATTTCTCCCAGTTTACAGCCTATATTGCCTGGCATAATTTTATCGCCATTCGGCGCGGATTTATCTGTAGCTTGTATCAGTGTATGCGATCGTTCAACAATAGGAATCATGACTTGACCGTCATATATCATAATCAAAGTCGAGATCACTGTCGACGTCTCAAACTTCTCTCTGTCCGCGGATTTAGAGCCCGGCGGCAAACACGAAACGATCTTGAAGCTTGACCTGTACCTGCATACGCGCTTATAGGTGCAGTGCCTCACAGATTAGAAATTTGATGGTCGGTAAGAAGCATACGATCATCGCACGGACTCGGATGAACTGTCGGATCCGTTGGGGTTTGTAGACCAAGAAGCTGTCGTCGCTTGACGTTCTATACAGCCAACCTTCAAGCTTCCAGACTTAGAGGGCTTGAAACGAACTGTGTTTCAATGCAGCGCTTGTTGAGCGCTTGTGCATCTAAGTCCTATACTTATTTCAGGATAAATCAATAATTACCACTTGTTGATTATGTAATCATGCATCGTGTTCGAACTTCGCCAGCGACGCTATTACTTATGGCTTGAAAGATAAGTGAGCCTTCATTATAGTTCTATAAGTATAACCACTGTAAATGCACAATTGTAACAAACTTCTTACCTGAGAACCCCCGAAGTTTGCAAGAACCAGCACCTAATGCCGGCATCTCACGACGAGCGCTCAAGTAGGATCAAAATTACCAAAGGGACCCACGTGGAAGGTTTGCTGAGGATACACCAAATGCACCAAATTGAATTTTCCACCCTATGAAAGTTCCGTGCAAGTCGCCGTTCACGTGCCGAGGGCAGTTGCAATAGGTACTTCGGTAGTTCTCCTGCTTTTCTTTTTTTGGCACTGGTGAAGACTTTCGAACTATATATTTATGTGCCTCCATTGCATATGACGAATTCCCGAGTAGCCCTTACTTTTTCGTCGACTTTCTTACCTTTGCTGGCCTAGATGTCTGGAAAAGTATGTTATATCCATCCCATCTGACGCTAGGCACATCTATTGACTCATTCTCTCCAGGCAGAACTGACCATAAATTTTCTTGTCGTTGGTGGCGGGATCGCAGGTCTTTCATGTGCGATAGCATTGAGACGAGTCGGCCATCGTGTTGTTGTTCTCGAACGTTACTCCGATTCAGATATTTCGAAGGTCGGTATCCTACAATCATCGACGTCGTAGTATTCTCATTGTGCCACTGGACAGATGTCGCACGGAGGCATTCGGTTGCCTCCAAATGTCTCGAAAGTTCTCTTCCATTGGGGCCTCGAGCGCGCTCTTCGGCAAGTATCCGTAACGTCCAGTGCTATGGAGATTGAGATTTGTTCGTATATATCAGCACATCACCTCTACTCTATAACTGACTATATCCACAGACGAAACCGGCGAGTTTATTGGTACCCATCATTGGGAAGAAGAGGTTCTCCGAGTAACTGGAGGAGATTTCCTCTTCCTACATGTACGCGTAATCTCCTGCCCTTGCTTCAGATTAATCTCATCTATGCATACAGCACGCCGGCCTCCGACAAGTTTTGTACGATGCCGCTATAGCAGCGGGCGCTGAGGTGCGGGCAGGCACAACAGTTGCCTCTGTAAATGGCGATGGCCCCCGCGTGACGTTGTCCACGGGGGAAACACTGCTGGCCGACGTGATTGTTGGCGCCGATGGCCGCTCGAGTATAGTGCAACAAGCAATCGTCGGTGATGATGTTCTCGATACAGTGCCATATCAATATTTATTCTACAAGTAAGCATTGCCCTGAACTTTTGTTAATTTACTCGTCGTCTGACTCCCATAGTACTACTGTCCCAGGAGCACTTATGAGAGCCGATCCCGAATTGGCACCTCTCTTTGAACAACCCGTCGTAAGTCACACTTGTACGATCATAATTGGCTTTAATGTAATGTTCAGGAGACTATGTTCATTTGGCTAGGCAATAATCGCTCGGCTGTGGCATTCCGTATGGTATGTTAACATTCGTGAGGTGTCGTGCTTAATCTAACAGCTCCTGAGTAGGGGGGTAATGATGAGTTTGCGCTACATCTATGGGTGCCTCCCAGGCAAAAGGGGCTATCCGATGATGATTGCTGGGGAGGAGGCCTCGACTTGAAGGAGATGCGGCGGCAGCTTGGAGAATGCGAACCGAGGTATAACGAATCTAGTGAAAATCGTTTATTCTGGCTGATTGAAAATCCCAGACTCCTAAAGATGACCAATTTGGCTGCCACGCCTTCCCGTGTACAGGTCAGGAAGGTTCCACCGATTGAGGATTGGGTTGATAAGCACGGTCGTATGGTAATTATAGGCGAGGCTGCACATCCACTTCCTGTATGTTATGACTTTGACCATGAGATGGCCTGTTGTGCTGACACTTCCTTTTCAGGCAGGATCCTTGCAGGGCGGCGCGATGGCTGTGGAAGACGCCGCTGTATTTGCAAGACTTTTCTCCCATCTGCGAGACAGGGAACAAATATCGACATTTTTGCATGCTTTTCAAGATCTTCGGGAAGATCGCTGTGCCAGTGTTGTGCATACGGAGCGATGTAATCTGTATTTCCAGATGATGCCGGCTGGTCCTCAGCAGGAGCAACGCGATCAAGATATGCGTGCCAAGACTGCTCAAGGGGAAAGCGTTTTCGGCGGCGGCAAAGCTTCTGAACAATGGGAGCAGCTCAAAGAACTTTGGGGATACGATGCCGAAGATGAAGCCGACGATTGGTGGGTCAAGTGGGGCCTTCTTCGCGAGCGAGCCAAGCAGCGATCACTAGACATGGAGGCAGAAATGAATATCGCACGACTGAGTTGCCTCGGCATGCGGTCATAATAACAAATGTTGTCCCTTTCTTTATTATAGCATGTTTAGTGTACTCACATATATTCTCATTCCTTTCGTTTAATTACCGTCCCTTTCTAGACAAGACAGTCATTTGATCATTGTTTCTTTCTGTAATCCCGCTGCATTGCCATTCTCAGGACATATGGACATCATCACAGTTAATATTGCTCTACTAGTATTGGCGTTGATATGTTTTGAACAAATTAACATATAGGTGCCTCGGAGCTGGATCGTTTGAATTTTGATGAACCGATCAAGTGTCGTGCTCAACCACTCTGCTTATTGTGGCGTGAGAGCCTGTAAGAACTTACCTCGAAGGACTTCTGACACTTCATTGGGCTTTGGGCGCAGGGTCCACCATTGGCTAGCTGTAATGACTCAAGGTCATGACGCGTCGATAGGTATTGGTGCACTTGGAACCTTTCAAAAGCCCCTCGTCACTAATAGGCCGGAGTTTACATCCACATTTGTACACAATGTCGTCGTCGTTCGCAGTATGCCGTGTGCGTGGCCTCCGTTCGCATGTTCTTGGTGCTTCTAATCTTCTTTGGCCACGATGGGTTTTCACTTGATCCTCGCGAACGGGGTTCTTGAATGAGCTCATTGAATGGATCAGGGTGACGAAGGAAGGCACGAAACGTCGTTTCCTATAGGTGCACCACAGAACGCGGATGCTAATTAAGACCGCTAATGACGACCAATGGCCTCAAGCAAATCATCAACACCTTCTGTAAACACCTCTTCGCATCTCTTCCTCTCTGAGAACTGAGTCTGAGTGATCACAACGCAAAGAGCTCCCGCGATAGAACGCACCGGTACTCAAACATAAGCTGCACTCCCACGAACATGATGCAACTGGCTGCAAGCAAGAAACAAAATCCTAATGGAGTATTAGATAGTCCAATATCACGCGGTGACAAAGAACAGAAGGCGCTCTACCTTGCCACGTTCCCGCCATCTGGCTGGCCATATACATTATCCCGTCCGTACCAATCACAAATCCAACAAGGTTTGCGGAAACCATCATTGACATGTTAAGTACGCCTCCGATTGCGCAGACATGGCGATACCATGAAAATTGCCCGTACTGATCGTGCGAGTTAAATGAGACGTGGAAGGTGAAAATGCCACGAAAATGGTGTTCGACTAACCTTTGTGTGAGGGAGAAGGTACCTCGCAAGGAGCTCAGGTAAGATGAAAAAACTGACGAGCCATCCCCACGCAAGCAAGCGAAAGGAGAGATCATGCCAGAGTGCGACAAATGTGAAGATAAGCGCAGTTGTCAGTGCAACGTTCTCTGTACCTCCGAGCGGAATGTAGATGTATCTGTATTCCAGTAAGTAAGAAGCCCGCACATGTATATAACAGCCGAACCGGACGATCCAGAGATTGTAAGACCGGTGCCAACTTCGCCAAAATCCAAGAGTAGAGTAATTATTGACCATGCACCGTACCATGTTTTCAGGTGGGTCGATACCGCTGGCCAAAGACCAGAGACGAAAAAACCTCCATGGTAAAAGCAGCTACTCAAATGATCAACAGAAAATGAAACACATCCAAAAAAAACTTACTTTTAACCAGACGACGATGAGATTCCAAAAGCCGATCATACTTAGCTCCAGTGGTGTATAGCCTTGCCAAGCCTTCATATCTTTGATGGCCACAACATACATGTAATGTAATATGGACTCCATGGTCAGGAGACTAACAAGGAAACGAACCAAGTAGTGGCATTGGACGCGTATGGGAATATCTATAGGGCGGCGCAACTGCATAAATGATGTGAACGAAAGCAAATCAAACAGAAAAGAACATGTACCTGCCACATGAAATTATTGAATGTCAGAATAGGGCCAGCGATGTAGAGTGGAGGATAGAGGACATAGGTGATATAATTCCGATATGTATAATCTTCTAAAGGCAGTGGCGTGTTGGCTCTCTGCTTTTCGGTAGAAGTAGAGCTCAAGCTCTTCGAAGTGCATAAGTATCAAGACAGATATCGAACCTAGTTGCTCACCTCTCCTCCACGAGAATTATAGGCCCAATAGTAATCCATATTGAATGACACCAATCTCAGCATAGTGATATTGAAGCTTATGTGCCAACGCGGATAAATGCCTTGGAATGCGTCCTGGGTGAAAAGTCAGAAACTGTTGATGATAGACGTCTAGAATAACGAACCAAAACTTCTAATGAAGGGTGGAAACTGGCATACCGATATCCGCCATGCGTCTCATTAGCGAATAAGATTAAAACGTTAAAAACCCAGGTAAGCAGTGGTCCCATGCGCGATCCTTTGGATGTCTTAGCAATCCAGTAGTTGGCCGTCAGGATAATTACAATCTTGAAGACGCTCGTCCCGTGGAGACCAGTAAGGTACAGAACAGAGAACACAAGGAAAAACGGAATCAGGTAAAGCTTATCCGAGGGTATACTTAGGGCAGAGCGCAATGCAGACCGTGTGTATATGTATTTGAGAGTGATGAAGATCAGGACAAGGAATGAGAGTGAAAGTATGTTGTTGCGAAATGACCGATACTGGGTATCACTGTTGTCCTGCGAGAATAAAAGTCAGGGAATTATTTTGTGCATGAAACAGAGGCAGAAAACGGCCAGGACATCATGCCTACAAGATATGATACTCACAACTTCGCGTCCGAACATCCAACCTGGTGATAATCTGTGACGATAATATAGATAATTTGGATGTGAAGCTGATGACATTCATTAGCATTAGTGACAACCATCTACAACAAAATTCTACATACGTGAACTCAGGTGGATAGGTATCCACACCATAAGAGGGATCACAAACAAAGCGACCACATAATAGAAGATAAATTCTGGAGTTTTCCATCTTGGAGGTGGGCGCGTTTCGTTTGGGATGCGGCTCAAAGCAGGGATATCAACAGTGAGTGATGTAATTCCCCCTGGCTTTGGCGGAGTGTAGTCAAGGTCAAATGTCGAGAAATGGCCTTCTTGGTTTCGCATATCTGTGGGCATATCAACCACTATGTCCTTTGGCATGAGCTCCGTATATTTCTGGAAGGAAGCTGCGTTGGTTCTGCGAGGTTTCAAGAAGTAGAGTCCATTGGCAGGCCGTTAGAGATTTGTGACAAAAGGCAACTCGTGCACGTCCAAGTGATGCGAGAATTTTCTTCCTTATGTGGATGCTAGTGGTATTGCACTCTCGGAAATTCGAATCGCATCATGGTTCCGCTGACATCTATTGTATATTGCCAGTCAGTTCCTCAGTGAAGGAATTTTTTGACTGCATAGCTGATACAATGCTTGGACGCGCAGTGGACGACATTTCCACAGGCTCGGATTCTGAATACTCTAAGTGGGTCCTTTATTGCCTAGCCGTCGCCCAACTGAAGCTGTGCTGTTTCATCGGTTTCCAGTTCGGTGAGAAAGCAGTCACGGCGGATATGTTACGTTCTAAACACAGTTGAAGTGGATCTCTTGGTTTCTTTCATCCAAGGGCAACGAATATTTCTGCGAAGTCGAAGAGGACTATATCCTAGATAGATTCAATCTCACTGGCCTCAACAACGAAGTTTCAAACTATGCCCAAGCGCTCGATTTAATCACGGATAATCTCGGTACATTTCGCAAGCCATATTGTTAGGTTGTGACTGAGAGCCATCGATTCCCAGACGACGATATACAAGACGAGCTACGCGGTGCGCTCGATGTCCAGGCCCGTTTGTTGTATGGTCTAATCCATGCTCGATGGATTGTTACTGCCCGCGGACTGGCTAAAATGGTAACGTCTGCCTGCTCTTACCGCTAAGCCTCCTCACCTCCTTTCAGCTCGACAAATTCAAGCGAGTGGATTTTGGTCGGTGCCCACGAGTACTCTGTCAATCCCAGCCACTGCTTCCAGTAGGCCTCAGTGATACACCCTACGAAAAGTCAGTGAAGTTGTATTGCGGTCGATGCGAAGATGTCTACTCTCCCAAATCGTCGCGCCATGGCTCCATTGATGGCGCTTACTTTGGCACGTCCTTCCCTCACCTCTTGTTCCTCGTATACCCCAGTCTCCTTCCGCCGAAATCCGGCCCTGTTGATCCTACTCCGACCTCCCGTGGTATTGAAAACGACTCCAGCAGAAAAAGTAGGAGAGTTAAGGAAGAACCTGAAATTTCTGAGGGTGTCGGAGAGACAGCCAGCACTGCAAGTGTTGCATTGAAAGCAGAAAGATATCGACCGAGGATATATGGTTTTCAGCTGAATGAGACTGCAAAGTTGCAGAGATGGCAAGAGGCTGTTCGTGATAGGTGAGTTGGTTCTTCATTTTCAAAGACCTTACTCATGCGTAGTGTACAGGCAAATAGTACGCCTCGAAGCGCTCGAGGACCTCAGTTAAATTATTTGTTTTACTTCTTACAATCGTGATCATATCATATCATTAATTGGGCTTATTATGTTGGAATCCACGTCCTGAGCAGCGTCAGCAAGCCTCCAAAGAGAGTTCTCGCAAATGAAAGCGAACAAGAGACCAAAATCCTATCTGCCTTATTCTTCATCTACTCCAAAAGAAGACAACGATAGATACCATATGTTCTTGCCAGTGAGGGATAACTTATAAGAGGTGTTGGCGATGCTTGGGAGGTGAAGAAAAATGTAAGTTCCCATATCCTATGAACATCATCAGTGACTGCAAACGTCTGAAAGATGAGAAGGTCTGTACGACACTTTCTCAGTTCTGTATCTACATAGTTCACCCTAGGGCTCTTGGTTGTCTCCACAGATGTTTCAATAGTACCTCTGCACCATTGTTCTCAGATGTGTCAAATTGCTCTGTGTTATTTGAATGGCTCGAGGTATTGTGCTGCTATAACTATACATCAACTGCTTGGTGTCTTACTACAGCAACCATTAATTATATTGAATATTGAACGTTCGAACATTGACAAGTATGATGTGGTTTCCTCTGCCAAATGTGTTGCACCGCGCTGATAACCGAGCCAGTACCACGGTCCGGTTATTACCTAATATATTACCGTGTGCCTCGGCCTGCACAGCTGCAACGGCTGCGATTCCACTATGTCTGGAAGGCACTGTCACCTGTGACCTGACTCGAAGCTTGCTCGAGACTCAACACTTGCACATGTACTGCACCTTTCCTGTCCTTTGCTCTTACTCAGGATGAATGTGATAAATCTCTCTGCAACTGACTTTCCCATCAAGTCCGTGAGGATATTCAGCTCCGATGTAGCTGAGGTTACCCGCATTTTCCCCCTCAACTTTACCCAGTCTCTAGTACGTGCATAGTGGTTGACCTCAGCAACTTCTAAGACTCAGTTACTTACTACTACATAATTAGAATGGATCGCTGGCCATCAATATTTCAAACCTTCCCCTACTGCATCGGCAGAGTGGCATTTGGGCATCTGTGATCGTTGGTTCAGATGATCTACTGGTCGTAGATTACTACCATGGCCCGTCCGACTATAAATCCGACCCGTTTGGCCATCGGCACGAGACTAGTAGTGATGTCCTTCGTGATCTGCAGGCCGAATCTACGCGCCTACAGGATGAGCGTCAGCTAAGGCAACAAAGCTTCGCCTTCCTGTCGACGTACATGAACTCTCTTGCCGCAGGAAATGCTCTGGCGGGTGTGGCAGAACCTGCACAACTCGTTACACTCTTCGATGAGTTCATAGACATTGGCAAGAGTCGATCCGAAGTCATTGCAGTACTTGACCAGCAGATCAAGGACGTTAAGAAGGAAATAGACGAAGAAGTACAGCGACTTTTCCTCGAATCCTGCGCCTTGGTGACCAAAGCCACTGTTATTCTTGCACCAGTTTCTGGCCGCACCGCTACGGTCGCTGAGTTGGAACTGAAGTACAGTGAGTTGTCTCACCATCAAGCTGTCGCATTTTCATCTATAACTGAGTCCTCCTCAGAGGTTGATGCTACGTGGAAGCCAGTATACGAACTACATGTCACGACCATTGATGGTGTCCCTTCTTCATCAGTCGTTCTGACTTATCGATGCCAAATTTCTCAGTCTACCGGCGAGAATTGGGATGATGTGGAGCTTGCAGTGACAACAGCAGAACCCTATATTCATTCAGTGGGAGTACCCGAACTAAAGAAGATGGAGCTAAAGCAACAAGGGGGCTTTTGGAAGCCTGACCCTTGTGATTTACCGCTCAGGCCCAAAAATTTCCCATTTTGGAATGCCACAGGAAATGCACACATTCTTTCCTCGACACAGCAAGACAGACGAAGCATATTTGGAAATACTCAAAGTGCTCCTCACCAAGCTGGGGCCACACAGGAACCTGCAGCAGACAATGTGTTCGGATTTTTACAGGGACAACCCACTGTCACAACTCAAGGTTTCTTTACATCTACTCCAGCGCAATCGAGTACACTGGCAGGTCAAACGTTTTCCCATTTTCCAGCGCAATCACAGGCATCTTCCTTAACGACCGCACCACCATCGCAATATTCACTCAGTGCGCGGAACCCAAGTAGTGGCGGGAGTAGCGCCACAGAGAACACCTTTGGCTCCAAGCAATCAACATCAAACTTGCAGCAGTCTCAGCCATCGACTTCCTTGTCCGCTTCAGCGCAGCCATCCAAGTTACAGCACCAAAGAGAACGCATAGTGTTAGCAGAGGTGCGTCATGACTTCATATTGCTAGCGAATCTGACGATGATCTTATTGTAGCTTGACAAGGCCGTGACTCACACAACGACTGCAAAGGTGTTCATCCCAAGTCGTGCAGTCGGGGGGACCCATCACATTCTTATGGCAACTATCCCACTGAAGGCGTCATTTACCAGAGTCGCAGTACCGAGCGTTAACTCCCATGTCTTTTGGACTGTAAGTAATGTCTCGTTTATGTCATCGCACCTGCCTCATATCTATCATTCTAGTGCGAGATTTCGAACACAAGCAACTATGCACTAACTCCGGGCACTATTCACACTTACCTGGATGGAAAACACGTCTCTGACATGGATATCACGGTACGTTATTTCCTATGTTAGTTTCCGAGACCCATTAACCTTGCGCATCGAAACAGAGCATCAATCAGTCGCAGCCTATCCAATGCTCTCTTGGTATTGACCCCGCGATGGCCACGCAGTTCAACCGCACTACCGGCTCACTACCTGACTTCAACGGCAAGGCGACTAAGACGTATACCATCACAGCCACTCTCAACAACACGCACCGCGACCCCGTCAGCAACGTCATCGTTCGTACATCACTTCCATTTTCTGCAGACCCTCGTATTACAGTCACGTTGCAAGAGGCCGGAGGCCTTGCTGACATCAACTCGGGAACGGTACGGGTAGGAGATGGGTGTTATGCGAGGTGGTCAACCACTGGGGACCACGCAGGAAAGAATGATGGACTGTTCGAGTGGGTGTGCAGTAGTGTGAAACCCGGTTCACAGGTGTTGAAGGCAGTGTGGCATGTGACCGCTCCTTGCGGTCTCAGTTTCACAGAACCGTAGTTCGGCCTATCTAATACGCAGCTTGCTATTTAAGTCTAAGAAGAGGAAGAAGGGTGTATGACAGGTTTTATTGATTCGGGGCAAGAGTAAGAATCCTTCTGTGTAGTATTTCACAAAATGTTTGCGTATACACAAACATTAATTATTATACATCGTTGTTCATTGGTTCTCATGATCTTGGCCATCTTTTACAGCACGCCATCGCTGCGCACAGCACATTGCCTAAATTCCAGCTTCTTCAAACCTTCATCCTTGGGTAAGATGTCCTGTTACACATCATGTAGTCAAATCGGCTACATGTATCACAACGAACTCACATGTTCAAAGATCCCCAAGGGAAGACCGAGAGTCACACAGGCATTTGGAGAGTCCTAAGATAAAATTGAATAAAACTGTCGAGGAGCTCAGATTGGATCTAACTTACCACGATTGCACCAATGTGACTTTCTACCGGCGCAGCAGACAACAAAAGGTCTAAATGAAATTGAACGTTGTTCTTGCCCTCACAGAACATATGGCTTACATGCTTGCTCACGGGCTGCGGTCACTCGCTGATCAGTAGATGGTTCATTTTACGATGCGGGACTTACTGTAACCAATCTTCATAAGATAAGCGATAGCGTTCAGAGCAGCCTGCTTGTAGGCCACCGTGCTAAGTAGAGTTAATGAACTACGCATCAATGTATCAAGGGAAAGTGCACTGACGCATCCATGTTGTATTGGGTACCATCACCGTCTGTTAATTGACATCGTCAATAATGGATGATGTGGCATTCAATGTGCTCATGCATACGGTAGTCTACACTGATCCCCTGGAAGATCAACTGGAAAATTGGATTAGCAGCTAAAACAGATGGTGTGCTCATGTACCTACTTTTGCGGAGTATTGTGGATCGACAGGAGAGGGCTGTGACGGTCAGCACCGGAGTGGCCACCTGAGACAAGAACATACCAGGAAGATGGGTTGTTTCATAGCAAACTTCTCGACACCACCCTTTATGATGCTAGTGCTGAAGGTGACTATTCCAGCCTGGAAGCCATATTAGTGAGAGCGGGACAAAATTGCAAAAAATCCACACCATCTCTATAGCGCCACAGAAGGACAGCTAAGTAGTGCTCGTTTAGATCACTTACGCACTGATAGATTCTAGCCTACCTCGCCCTGTTTGAATGTTAGCATGAGCGGGACTGCGTGATCGAGATACTCACATCTCCTTGAGAGAAGTGGAGATCGCCGACAGACAAGTTTGCACCCTTCACGAATACAGGGAAATAGCAGCGCGAACCCCTTGACCCAAAGTATGTGAGAAACAACGGAAGCCTGTAGTGAGCTTCCTTTACCTTGACAAGTTTTTGATCTATGAAGTAGATAGTTACTACAATCGAGATAACAAATGATGATTTAAAGGAAGCTTACATCGCAGTTACCGCCATGCTCTCTTCCAGGAATCGTGCGTGCGCCTTCGCGATAGATTTTCGCGCGTACGTCATCAGGAAGGTCTTGGCCGACATAAGCGCCTGGTGCCAATGGGCCATAGGCGACGGGAGGAACTGAATTAGCGTGAGCTTCAATAAGGGCACCTTCACGCTTGTTCCAGGTTGCCAATAGCTCAGCGGACGGTGCTGTGCCGATCAACCCAGGATGTGACACGCCAGCGAAACGTACGCCAGGAATGTGCCTTGAAGTGGCATAGACACCTGGAGACATGTCATCAGAATGTTGCACGCATATCGTAGGAAGATGCAAACCTTTGAAATCCCAGATAGCCTTTGCAGCTCTACTCTGGAATTCCCGAGCTACGTAAGATTTTGATTAGAAATATGCGAAATATGGCATATTTTTTCGCTCACCAAACAATCCACCGCCGTTCTCGAGTTCGAAAATACCCTGTTGCACTTTAGGCGCTTGGCTGAATAACTAATTCTGTGAGAGTGCTCACGGTGTAGCCCCAGGGCATTTTATCAAACGGTCTGACTACGAACAGATGAAAAGGAGTCACAGAAGAGCAACCAGGTACGACATACCATCAAGAATATCAACTACGAGACAGTCTCCAGGCTCGGCGCCCTCCACAGCGATTGGACCGGACAAATTATGAACGCTGGTCAGGTCCACGTCTCTGATATCATCGCTCGCTATCGGAAATAGTCGCCTTAAAGTAGATCCCTATGATGGCGAGAGCCCATATACGTACTGTCGTTGTTACCGATTTGTGCTCCTGTCCAGTCAACACATTCGACGTTGAACACCTGTGCAAATGATCGAACATAAGACAGGTGTATATATACATCCAAGGGCATCGTGACATACCTGTCCGGGCTTCACTGTGGCAACGGCAGGGATATCTGGACTACGAACAGGGTCATGGGATCGATTGTGGAACGAATAGCGTACTAACTCACTGCCAGCGGTTGTGCAGGTTCTGAAAAGTGTTAATAAATGTTGTAACTAGGGCGAAACGTGGAACAAACCTTCTGTTCTCTTGCAGGACTTGCAATTAATCGACATTGTGAGATAAAGATGTGGATAGCATCAACCTAAAAACCTACACAAAAGGATCAGCCTAGGGGTGCAGTGATCAGTTGTCAACTTTCGCCGGTGAACAGGACGTAGTTGCGTACCGAAATCAAAGTTGGGTGAGCTACGGAGTTCGCGACAGTTGCCATCAGTTAATCGCTTTTTTCTTTGTGATGAGGCTGGTGATGAGAAGGCTGAGTTGAAAGGAAAGGAACCTCATAGTGATTGGAGCCAATAGCTTATAATGGCTCCTGATAAGACTGGCGGTCCGCGTTATACCGCAACCGTCTATCAACAATGTGCCTCATAGACGAACTGGTCACGAGTCTAGTTACATGGGTGGGGCCAGTGTCACAACAGACGTCTCAAGTCTCATGCAAGACTTAATTTTGGACCACTTACTTAGTAACGCCAGAACGGAGCAGCATAATTGAGATTCTCACCTGCTATCATGCATCCGCTCTCAGATAATTGCGAATTCATAGTTTCAGGTTGAGTCCAGGACGTGCTTGATGCAGTACAGTGACTACAGTCTGCACAGACACCGTACGACTTTGACAGATACGTTCTCAAGAATTTGACCATCGTGCGAACCTCGAAGATCAGGCGACTTGCTACGATAACACGAGAGACGTGGGTATGGTGAACCTTCAACCGACACTAGTACTGTCATGGGTGAGCCCATTTAAAGAAACTTTGACTTGCCGTACTCAGTACGGTGCACACGTGACACAATATGTGTGTTTCGAAACTTTGACAAGTTCGCCGCGGCGACATTCCAATCTTGTACTACGTATACACTGACATCGCAGCCATCTGGCGACAGTACTGACAGGTGAGCCTACGTTAGCAACTTAACAGTATGGTAGTTACTCCTCATTGCAGATCATCGATTTAAGGTAATCAAATTCACTATATAAACTTGAAGGTGCTGCTTTCGGTTCCTCACACTATGATCTTTTCTTCATGGTTCGCCCCACTATTCACCATACTGTCGAAGCCAGACAGCAGGCTGCGCACGAGAAACACAAAAGATACTATGAAAGGTAAGTTTAGTTGTTATCATTGGCTCTCTCCCTGCAACTGAAGTATTTAGGCACAGAGACGTCATTTTATTGAGACGTCATCTCTGTCACACAAACAACACTCCTTCTGTCACAGCCGAGTCTAACATGGACGACCTATCAGATGATGAGGTTGACTTCGAGGCAATGTACTTTTTTTTCAATGATAATTAAATTGTGTCCTTGACGATCTACTGTAGTATCACTTTGTCTGATTGTCTGGGGCTCGTACGTGATGCAAAGAACAAAGTCCTGGCACTTGTTCCTTCCGGGATACCTACAACATATGTCAAGAGCATCCTTCGCAAATACGCTATGTCGTTACGCACCAGTGTTGCCGGGGACATTGGGATATTCTGGGACGGGCTCAAGCTCGTTGAGCCATATTTGTTGTGGGCACAGCAGGGGCAGGATAAAAATTTTGACATGTGTGGCGTATGCAATGAATGGCGTGCTGCTGACGAGGTTTCCAGATTCATTGGACATCTGGTAGCTATGCTGGAGGATCTTCACAGACTAGCCATTTGGGGTGACCTTGACGAGGCTTATTTACTTGGGGAAACGATGTACCAGAAGACCTTGGGACTGGAGGCTCCTGGAGTCTAGCCACTTGTTTGTTTTTTTAGAATATACAATACACTTATTGCCATGATCTAAACAGCAAGCACTGAAGAAAATTAGATCTAACAATTGCGTGTTGCATTGACTTGATGTGAGATACAAAAGTAATTCAATGTAACGTGTATCTAAGCGAGCATGAACTCGATGTCTAGCCTAGCGAGCCATCAATCGATAAGTCTATTATGGCCGGTTACGCGTCCTCTTCGATGATGATGCATTTGCCAGAGTATCGGAGCGACCCCGTTTCTTGCTACCACTGGAAGCCACAGACTTCGACATAGAACAAGTTGCTATGAGCCGATCCAAAACCCACACAACATCATCAGCAGCATCTTCCCATCGCGAATCTTCGTACCCTTTACCATCAGCACCATCTGCCCACCATTTCAAGGTAGCTACAACCGAGAGCATGCCATTTGCACCTGGTTTGTTGAGGGTGTCCCAGTTGCTGTCATCTGTGCGAGGGAGGATTGCACTTGTCGTAAGTGTCGGGGCCTGACATTTTCTCCACTCTGGTTGAAGCGTGATCCACCAGGACCACCATCGCAACACAAATGCATTGAGATCGGGTATGGTTGGTTTTCCTTTACGTCCGCAGGAAATCCACCAGTGGACTTCAGCTGGACGATGTTCACATCCCAAAGCAGCCTTCTTGTTCGCAAAGCCTGACACATCCTCAAGGCATACCAGCTTTTCAAACAACTGGATCACACGAGGAGAGGCCGGGGCGGGATTCATCAACTGTTGGAACGGATTGTTGAACCACGGTGGGCTGGGTGGGAGTGCAGGCAGGCTAAGGGATATGTTGCCATCACGAGAGGCTGTACATAAACCTGAATGACTGATCATGGCACACAACAGAAGCATCAATTACAGTGGCTCAAAAAAGTGTCCCAATGTTTGTAGCTTTTCATGTAATTGCTATATCATGTGTCGAGACATGGGAATATGACTAAGCTATAAGGAGATGTCGGAAAGGTCTGCATCTCAGCTTCATTTCGGTTCCCTATACCGTGGGAAACTAATGACATTATGTGAAGATATGAGTATTTTAATTTGATGACTCATTGGGACACTTTTTTGACTTTGAGTTTTACTAATGTAATCTCTATAATTCTAGTACTGTGTGTGACCTCCTTCTGCTCCAATCACTTCTGCCACTCTTCTAAACATATTCTCTATCAATTTTGAGTATTCCTCTTTGGTGATTCCATCATACTCTGCTATAACACTGTCTCATAGTTGGAATAGCCCCTACAGTGAATCTTGATATGCTACAAGTAATTTCTTGAGTGATTCTCAGGGGTATTCAATATGGTTGATGTCTTGGGTCTATGTTGAACATGATAGAATAGTAATATTATGGTCTTTAAGTTATTTGGTAGCCAATCTAGAAGGTTGCTCTATAAGACTTAAGATCTCTTAATCACTATATTCTAATTGGAAAGACTGCTGATGCTAATAAAGTGATTAAATTGATTATTTCCATCATTCCTATGACTATCTCTACTCAAATAGTCAGACAGACTCTCAAGACAGCCCATCTTAAAGCTATAATCAAGAAAAACAAATTCCTCTGTCTCCAACCTATAAAAATAAAAGACAAGATGCTACTTTCAAGTACAAATATCGGACTGCTAATAGCTGAAAGAGGTTTATCTAGTTAGATAAGGTTAAAATCAATAGGATGAAATCATATGGCAAGGAATTTATATTAAAATAGATAAGACAATCATTAAGATAAAGAAAAGTTAAATAAACACCTTAAGTTTCAAGACAAAACTTGATGGTATAGGACTATATGAGATAAAATGGAGTGGGAATCTTCTATGAAGCAAAGGGGAGGATGAATACAGAGTAGTAAATACTCATTTGACAGGAGTGTCTGCTAAGAAGCATGCAGAAGTTATGAGTTAATGAAGAAGATACTGTTTTGTGATAAGACAATGACCCTAAGTATACCTCTAAATAAGCCATCAATAACTTGCAAACCATGATATTACTATTCTATCATGTTCAACATAGACCCAAGACATCAACCATATTGAATACCCTTGAGAATCACTCAAGAAATTACTTGTAGCATATCAAGATTCACTGTAGGGGCTATTCCAACTATGAGACAGTGTTACAGCAGAGTATGATGGAATCACCAAAGAGAAATACCCAAAATTGATAGAGAATATGTTTAGAAGAGTGGCAGAAGTGATTGGAGCAGAAGGAGGTCACACACAGTACTAGAATTATAGAGATTACATTAGTAAAACTCAAAGTCAAAAAGTGTCCCAATGAGTCATCAAATTAAAATACTCATATCTTCACATAATGTCATTAGTTTCCCACGGTATAGGGAACCGAAATGAAGCTGAGATGCAGACCTTTCCGACATCTCCCTATAGCTTAGTCATATTCCCATGTCTCGACACATGATATAGCAATTACATGAAAAGCTACAAACATTGGGACACTTTTTTGAGCCACTGTATGTACCGTTTGCAGTCTTATCTGTGTGCTTGTCCTGAGTTGTGGTGTCACGATCGTCCACAGCCCCTTCTATGTCCCGTTTGGCAGAGGGCATCTCATCTATATCGTGATCATCAACAGGCTTGTGAAGACCCTGTCCAAGAATCTCGGCTGTTGTGTTAAAATAATGTTAATACATCAGCATACTGAGCACCGATACTTACCAGGTGGAGTAGGTGGTTGATCAACAGCCATCCCAGAGTCTTCTCTGAGATGCGGATCAATTGTATTGTCATTGAAAGTTGGGCAGGGCGATGACATTGTCAAGAGGTGGCTCAACAATGGCGGTGGATGTGATGGCTAAGGAGATATCAATTTAGTACGCTTGTATAACATATTAAATAAAACATTTACCAGGTGGAACAGGAGGACGATTGGTGCTTATCTTGGCATCGTCAATGGGGGTGTCAGCAGTGCTCTCGTCAAGCTGGTCAATTTCTTCTGTGTCATCCAGCATCTTGGACGCACGGCCGACACTTCGGACGTGTGATCGCTTCGCCTTGCATTGAGTCGTGCGAGAGCTGCCGCTTTGTGGTGTGGATTGAAGTAGGTAACCCCATAATGTCCTTTTGGCGGTGAAAATGGTAGTACATTGTTAGAACGATGATGTTCTTCTTCACTGTCCGTGTTAGTAGAGCTTGATGAAGCGGAACCTGAAGATGAGGAAGATGAAGACGAGCCGGGGGATGTGGAAGATGATTCTGATGATGATTCGTCCGTCTCAGAAGGTTCGGAAGGCTTGTGTCGAGAAGTACGTGCCCTTTTGGTACCTTTCTGCTTTGATTTCATTCGGTGTGATCTATATTTGGCCTTTGTCAGTTTATTCGCTTGATGATCTTCCCAATCCTCCTGAGCATCAGATTGATCGCCTTTGTCCGTAATGGTGAACAGGTTGTTTAAATCATCTGGGAGGCGACGAGAATCACAATCCTGTTTACCTGATGATGTTTAGCATATAGTTAGATGATAGAAATAATAACACACTATATGCGTGCGATAGGTAGTCTTGAAAATGCTTTGTGACCATCTTAAATTTTGCTTTATCTCGGGTCTGCCAATTGCATGGTTTCAAATTCAGATCAACGCCCTCATGCATGCTTCCAGTGTGATGTTAGTTCTGTGTCGGAACGATATCGACAAACATACCTGACGACAGTGATCTTCCCCTGCTTCCGAGGTTCGGGACCACCAACCAAAAGGGATACGTGCATGCCGAGAGTTTCGGACATACCAGAAAGAATTGGTCCAGCAAAAGTCGCCAAGTTGTCCAGGGCCTTAGTTTAGTCTTCAATACAGATCCAAATGAATAGATTCGAACACTTACACTTGTCTATCGAGAGGAGATGTGGACGGAGGTGCTTTGAGCCGGTTGTTCCACTCTTTGACTGCTGCTTTACCCTCTGCTTGCGCTTTATCCCTCCAATCCCTCTGCTCTTCTTTGGACAGCTTTTTGAAGTGTTTGTGTGTGATCCGGTCATGAAAGGCTGCCATCTTCTCCTTAGGCAGCCTGGCCTTGCACCACTTCTTGAGAAAACGAGACTTGACCTTGGTCTCAAAATGGTCTTTGGACCACCGCTGGTGTGCTTGCAAGGCCTTCGGTTTGTGTCGTCAGACACCAGAAAGTTGGCTGAGGAGCCGGGTCCACTCATTGTTCTCTGGCTTGCTGCGGTGGACGAACAACTTCTTCGAGGACTTGGCACGATAATCCAGCCAGCTTGTGATCACCTACTTGAGGGTTAAGAAGTTTATAGATAAATACATGTATTATTGCTTACCTTTTGCATTGCAAGAACCTTTTGCGATTTTTGTGCGAGTTCGACTGGGGAAAGCGACTCCTCCGGCTCCATTTGCAATGGACCGTGTTCCAAGGGCTCCTCTGATACCTTCAACTTCCAATGATACTGCTTGAAGTATTCTTGCACGACCTCGTGTGCATAGTCCTTGGCTCGTAACCTTCCTTGATTGATGCGCTCGCAGTAAGTAGACAAGTGGCTGTTGAGAAACGCCAGGTGCGAGTTTTTCGCCCAGTTACGAAACAACTTTTCTACGTAGGCGTTGGGATCGTCAGTGTTTGGTTCAGGAGCTGGTGTGGGTGTTGCATCTGGGTCGGGCAATGGGCTGGACAGCGCCACTACAGGTGGGGCCGTGTCGTCTGGTGCCGGATTGCTTGTTCTATAGATAAAGTTATCAGTAAAAACCACCAGAATTAAATCAACTTACTCCATCTGTGAAATATTGAGAGAGAGTCGAGACCTAGGTATCTGTTTTTGCGGAATTCTTTCTGTATAACAGAATTAAATTCAGATTGATATTCAATAACGGAGTCTTTGTTCGTAGGAGTTTGCATGTGGCTAATTAGGGGAAAATCTAAGATAAAACCTGAACGAAAACCTTCTGGGACTTTTGCAAAGCGGTCTAGAGCATGTGCGCTATGGAGTGCCCATTCCCAAGCCTTAGCATGGTAGGGAGTGAGTGGGTTCAGCCTTCTGTGCACGAGAACAACGTTGAGCTCCATGTTCGGAGGATCCACATCCTGAACAAAGGTGTTTGTAACTATGGTGCAAGTCTCTACAACCTTCTTCATGTTGCCAGGATGTGCACAGCTGGTGCCCGTCTTTGCACCATAGAGCTTTCTTGATGCGCTCGGAGTAGACATCAAAGAGATTGTCCCATGTGCGGAAGGCGGAGCACTCGACTGTGCGATGTGGGTTGCGGCCAAGGCACACGGCGCAACAAGGCAAGGAGGAGGATGATGAGTTAGAGTTACGAAAGGAGCGCGACTTTTTCTTTGGGTCATTGTAAGCTGCACTGGGTGATAGCGGTCTCTTCTGCCCACTGAAAGAACGAGAACCTGCATTATGATTCATAGCAGGGACCACCTAGCGTTTGGGAGAATTTGGGAGACACATGATGGTACAGCGAAGGTGTAAGTTGTGGAAGCGCACGTTGTCTTCTTAGATAGATGATCTATAGATAAACACCTATAAAAACAAATATCTCCATGGTCAGCGATTCAGACAAATACCAATGACTGATAACGTGGTCATTCGTGGGTGGCTAGTTGTATACTACCCAAGGTATGTTCAGCTAAGGATACTTCTGCAAGATCAGTAATACGATGGTCAATCCAATCTATGGACTTTGACAGGAAAACAAACAAACAATGGTCAGCCCGACAGTATGGCAATGACCAAAAGAATATATGGGATTCTTCCTCAAGTTCCCTTTCAACAACAGTGCTTCGTACCAACTATACTCCAAAAGAAATGGTGCGGAATTACAATGATAAACCCTCAGCACAAAACAGGTAGAATCAAAGGTCAAGACTAATCAGATGCTTTATTGTAGAACTCTTAGCTCAATATTGAACCTGCTGTCAAGGAACTCTTCTTTGAGTATTCAAACAGACTCAGGAACGGACGTCCTTGGGTTTACTACCAAGTCCCCTCTTCAACGGCTAAAGCCTAGCAGGCACAGAATATCTTGGCTCAGTATCACTACTCAGATGAGTGAGGTCAAGCTTCACTATCAATTCCTAAAGTCTCCCCACTATGCTACTACTGAGTCTTAGGTGGACGTAGAGACAACACAAATATTTTGGATCAGTATTTTTGGACAAAGAACACCAAAGGTCAGTGAAAGTAAAAGAAAAGAAAAAGAATAATAGAAATCAGAATAAAAGTGTGGCTGTACCTTGCTTGCTGGTTGTTGCACACAGTGAGCTCACAGCGGGTCGTTCAGTATGATGAGCTTGCAGTATTACTGTCTCTTGAGAATGTTCCTCTCAGTCTTGAAACAGTTCTTGACACTGGTACTGACACCTATCACACCTTACTTCACAACTTAGTGTTAGTTGGGCTGAGAAACACCCTACTACCTGCTGGTATCTGCTTTTTTTATTTCAAAAACTGAGGTCATTATATACACAATAAATGTGGCTGTGCTACTAGTGAATTCAAGAGTCATCAAGAGTCATAATGAGTCATATGTGCAAGGTGAGTCATAGTGAGTCATAGTAAGTATCTAGAGTGAGTCATAGTGAGTCATTGGGTATTTGCTAAGTCATGTGACCTGTCCAACCCCTGATGACAAATCCAGAAGGAGAGTAAGAAGTGTCACATGATATGAATCCTGTGCGTGGCTGTCTTTGCTTTGCTTTGTTTGAAGGGTGAGAATGACGCGAGCCTAGTATTTAGGGGTTTACTAATGTTTTTCCAGGACAACATATGTGGGAAATATTTTTCACAGTCACCTGACATGTGTGGGATTTTGTCTGGGTCATCACCATGGCTGACTAAGCAAAACTCATCGCAGAATTAAATGTACTAAAATATTCAGGCTGCTGGCATATAGACTTGAAAAAATAAAAAGAAAAGCAAAAAATATTCCCTTAGCCTCAGTCCAACTTCAGATAACAGGGAAAAGGGTTTCATAGTGGTATTTCAGGGTATTTGACTCATGAGAGAGTATTGGTCATCCATGCACCGAACCCGTTTGGTGCAGGTCAACGTTGGCCGAAGTGACACAGGTTGGTCAGGGTGATGCGTGTTGGTCAAGGGGGTGACACATGTTGGTCGGCGACACATGTTGGTCAATGGTTGAACGAAGCCGGACGATCATGATGTCGAACGGCGATTTTAAGTGGGGGAGGTATCAAACACACGATGTGGATGTGGATTGGGAGTTTGTATGGTGATGTGAGAATGGTTAGTCATCTGTCTAAAGCCAATTGTGAGAGGATTCTCGTACCTGTCTGAGTGTCGCGAGGGCTTGATCGCAATCTATGTTAATAATCTCCTCTCTCGCTTCGAGGATGAGCTCTTGATTGAGCTCCGCTATAGACCATCCATGTGGACCGCCAGCTGTGAGATGCCACATTCTGCATTGCTGACTCTGGTAGAGCAAGAGTGCATGTTGCTTCAGAAGGTCCGTAGCATGACGCCAACGATGATTTTGAAGAGCTGTCCAAAAACTTATGTGCATGTTAATAAGATCTTCTGGCCATTCTTGTTGCTTCATGGCCATGATCATGCGCGGTGCGGCTTTGTTGAATTCTTCCCAAGATAGATTCTCGTCCTTGGTGATGACAGTTTTAGAGTCGCAAGTTTCATCCGTGTTAACCCACATCTGTTGGCCATCTGCTCCTGGGATCAAGATTAAGCCTTACGGTTTTGTTGAGAGAAGATTCTTCTTGGCTTCGGACAGGCCTTTATTGGTGAAGTAAAAGAGTTCGCAGTAATCCCCAGTTTTGAGTTTGCATACAGCATAGTGAGAAGGGATGACGGTGGGAATGGTCAGTATCTTAGCTGTAGAGACGGGGATGAATTTAGCTTTATTCTTCTTGTGTTCTTCCTTGCGCGCTGCAATAAGTTCGTCTTCCAGCGCTTGCTGCCGTTCTTGCTCTTGCTCGGCTGCAACCCGCCGAGCTTCTTGAGCCTGCCTTAGTTCTATTTCTGCTTGCTCTGCCCAAGCGTCTTTGGCAGTGTCGTTGTTGAAGGTCCAGATAGTTTCAAGCGCTTCCGCAGCTGCTTCTTCGTTCATGAGACCTCTAGCGATTAGACAAGCCCTGGCCGTGGTGTACTCGACGGTTGTGAAGTTTGGCAAGATTGCCTCATTGGGATTATATAACATAGATACCAGTATTAATTATTGAGCAGAGAAATAAAGTTATGTCTGGGATCATCTACGCTGGTGGGTGATGGATGTGGATGAGAACGGACAGTGTTACTGTCACACCACTAACTCACATGTAGACTAACTTCTGTGTTAGCCTCGTTCCTTGGCTAACTCAGAAAACCCACTTCGTCTAACCCAGATGAAAATCGAGTTTGCCAATACTGCAAAACTCTCGGGCATCGCCAAGTTCATTGCCCAGATTATTATTGCAGGATATGCAGAGAGTTAAGTCCTGGACATCTTTCATTCTACTGTCCAAGGTACACTGGCAACACCCCCACTACTTTAATGTGGAAAGATGAGGGGTTTTATATTGCGCTAGGACTTTGGGAGAATACTAAAGATGAAGAATATGTCACACAGTGTCAGGAAGAAGAGGCTCTCTATTGCGACGAGCAGATGAAGGGAGGTTTCAACGACTTGGACTATTCCAACAACCCCATTTATTATGCTAATCAAGATATTTAAAGTCGGTGACTTTATGCCTAGTAGGGGGGTAATGTTACAATAACATCTATATCTTTTGTTCTATGACACGCTTTCCATTTATGACTACTTACCTTTCTTGGATCCTGTACTTATATCTCACGACTACCTTGGTCCGTGCATGCATATTGACTTATTTAAGCACGTGTATTAGCTATGTAGAACTTCATTTGAATCTTACTAGGTTTTACCCAGAGCTTCCTTCGCTTAAGACCTCCAATCTTAAGTCGTCAGAACTAGCATTCTTAATTGAAGCACTCCTTCGATTAAGTCTAAAAGAACTCCTTTTCTGAAGGACTTTATGAATATCAACAGCTAATAGACTCTGTCGAGTCTCTGTTGTTAGAACTATCCTAGTTTGTAACACTCGCTAGTCGCGAGGCTGCTCGCCATGAGGTGGTGACATCATTATGGCAGGTCAAATACTCAGAGCGCATGACAGTGTTTAATCAGGCGCTCCACAAGGAGAACAAAAACTGCCTCAATTTGAGGGACGAACAGCTGAAGAAGATTAGGAACATTTTTTCTGAGTGTGAATGCACAGAAATCAACGATGACACGAATTACATTCAAGCTGTCTACAACGATGAATGCGAGATGCTTCGCGCCATCACCACCCAAGCAGAGATAATCTCAAAACACCTGGGATCACGTGCCAAACATGAATTATTAGCGTCTACTGGCAAAGTTCCCTACCTCCCTCATTTCATTGGCGCCTCACAAAACAGGGACAACATCACATGTGCACTGCATGGTGGTTTCACGGATGCCAGTACTGATACCGATACCAACTCCAATACTGATTTCGGTGAAGAGGAGGATCGTCGCAGTAGGTGGCCGGGCCAGCAGTGTTCGCAGTTGTGACTATCAATGGTATGTGACTGCCAAGTCGTTCATGCCACTCACTGATCAATATCAGTGACACCCAATTCATTCATGTCACTGTTCATAGATTGTTATTGCCTTACTTTGCCTGTCCATAACATGCTTCAACCATTCATACACACACTTTGACCATTCAATAAAGTGCTTCGCCCACTCCGGCTGTTCATATATCTTTTTCTCCCGTTCATAAGTTGTCTTATTGGACCATGCCCCCCCTTCTTTTTACACTTCATTAGTAAATGGCCTTGCTTTTTGTTGTCAATCATCTGATCAGCTCATCACACATTCCCGGTTTGTAAAGATTGTGTAAAGATTGTGTTTCTTTTCCCCATATGTACCGTTATGTTGTTTCGCAACTTAAATGCACGCATGTGCTCTTACATCCCCTCCAACCTTGAGTGCCTAGTGAGTGTGGCCTTCAGCGAAAAACTAAAGCTAAAGTCCCAAAACTGCCACATGGTTCTGGCCTCAATCCATCCGGCGAACCAGCAAGTGGCCAACTTCACATTCCTACTGAGCAACCGCGTATGTCTCAGTTCAACTTTGATGTGCATGTGGCCAGTGGAGGAGTTCCTACCCCCATATCAAGTGGGAGCACATGTGAGTCAATCACACTTTCATTCACTGATGACTCTGATGATTTCGCAGCATCATATGGCTGGAGTATGCAGAACACTGACTCTGACAGCCGCTTCCCTCATGGCCAATACTATGGTGCTTCGTCCTCAGAGGGCCCCTTCCAGGGCTCTTCTTTCGAAACCATCCAGACCTACCGCAGAGAACAGGAGGCCCTCACCGCTGTACAAACGGACCTTGTTAACTTGCTTCTTCCCAGGGGATGGCTGATGGAGATTTGATTCAAGAAGGCACGGACGATAACGACAACGACAACGACAACGAAGATTCCGCCATGTCAGATGACGGCAGTATTGTGAGTTTAGTTTCTTTTCTTTGTAATTATAATTATTAAATGTGTTCATTATTACTAGGGAGAATATTAATATTGTGAATACGTGCGTAGTAAATTATTCAAGTTTGTGCATGTGGTGAGTCTAGCCTTTTCTTATTGGCAGGATCAATCACTGATCTCTACTAATCAGGAAGGGCGCCTGTTTTTGTGTTAGACGTTATGTATCAAACTTTCCGGACCAGTGTCACGACAAGGGTAGGACTTGCGTCTAAGTAATTATGTTAGTGTGACCTGTTGCGACTCGTGGAAGTTAAGACTTACTCCAAGTCTGTGTCATTATGAGAATGAGGGGGATGCTCCTCCATGCGCCGCGGCAATGGAGGTGCAACCTGAAGAACATCAACATTGGATAGAAGGCAGAGTAACACAATATTTACCCGCAAAGTTTTCTTCGCCTTGAACTGCAGGTTAGCCTGTCATGGTCCACCACCGCCGAGTTCTCCTCTCGTTGTAGGCTGAACAGGCCGGGATTCACGATCTAAGAGATCTGGCAGCCGAGTAGGATGACTTCCCTCTCGGCAATGCACTGGCGTGGCCATCGTAGTGTGATGTTGATTCGAGGGCAAGGCAGGGGAGGTCAAAGCGGGGGAGGAAGATTCATGACCACCCGGTGTCTTGTTACTTAAGGGTCTTATATAAAAGTTGTGTATAATGACAACACAATTATACACAGTGAAGACTTCTTGCCAGTCCTTAAGTCCACAGTCTCCGACTTTTCTACTTCGTGGGAGGTAATGTGGTGAGTTCTTGGGAGGATTTAGTTTGTTGTCCTCTTCTTGTGTAGTCTTATACGAAGTGTTGTAGAATGTTCTGTGTTCTGGAAAATTTGTTAGGTTTGTTTCAGCCTAGTAGGTCATGTTTCAACCTATGAAAGTCTGTTTCAACTTTGTTGTCCTTAGATATGTGTCTCACTTTCCATTGAAAGAGAGAGTCTTTTGTATACACGTAAAGCTTAGAATGAGAGCTGTTCAATGGTTATATAGTCAACCCCTGTAAGGTAGTATATAACCTAGAGTAAGAGAATGATAATGAAAGTTATATGGTCAACCCCTGTAAGGTAGTATATAACTTTAGAGTAGATAATGATATCTTAGATTACCTCAAGGCACTTATATTGGCCTGCACTTTAAGTCTTAGTGGTCTCACACGGTTTGAGATAAGAGTCAAGTGGGAGGATTGTATTTCATGGGTGAAAATGGGGTCCTTTTATACCTTTGGGAACCTCCTTACTAAGCATGATTAATCAATTGGATTGGTAAGAATGTGGCTTACAAACCAGGTGATGAATCAGCTTATTACTAAGTACATTACAAATACAGTGTAATCTTACAAAGAAATTACAAACCATGACAAACCATGAGTGAACATGTTGAGTCATGTTAAATGTTGTTACAAAGCATGACCAATCATGACTAAACATGTTGAGTCAGCTTAAATAATGTTACAAACCAGAATATTTCCCAGTCACATGATGTGATGACAAATAAAATCTGGTGGCTGAAAGAAGCCAAATAAAAATAAACAGTCAGAAATAAATAGAGATACAAAACTTGGTGGCTGAAAGAAGCCAAATAACAATAAACAATGAGAAATAAACAGAAGGTCACATGCTTGAAACAAATACAAGGTAAAATAAGCCTGAAAAGTGAGAAATAAAATACAAGACAATAACGGTTCTCAAAGTCGAACGTAGAAAAAAATTCACAGCAAGATTTTGCATTGCCGGTACAGCATGTTCAAACTCCGCCCTGCCCTGTCAGTGTATGTGCTCGACATCGTCATTACTGGTGTCGACGGTGCCAAAGATTCAATCTGATCATCAATCATTGTCATAATAAACACCCTGAATCATGTCACGCTCTGGATGGAGAGGTCGAGGTGGTGGAGTTCGAGCCGGTGTGTCCGCCAGTACGGACACTGGGAAGAAATGCAGTATCCATTGGGAGGGGGTTCATAGTGCTCGTACGGAACGTCTCCTTGTCTGGTGCAAGGAAAATGAAGATGCACACATTAAGCTGTTCTCTGATTCTGCAAAGGATGCGAAGGAGCAAGGTCGGAAGAAGAAACAGAGCAGAACTTCAAGAGATACCTTTTATTCACAGGTCGCACAAGCCGTATTTTCGAATGACGAGGATCCGGAGGTCCAACAACTTTTCAAGGAGGACCCAAGGGCATTTATCAAACCAGTTTCAACTCGTTTCGGCACATACATATCCCATTCCTGCATTGTCCCTCCTCCCACTAGAATCACTGATCAGATGTTTTAGGCTCAAGAAAAAATATAACGAGTTCAACAAGGAGCTCAAGCAGTCAGGAGCCAGAAAGACGTATGCAGAGCTGCAAGAGGATCCAATGATGAAGTCATTGATTGGTAAGTTTTAGCTGCTGTTGAACTGCACATGTCTTAATCGTATCTCTGTTAGATACAAAGCTTGAAACATTTCCCTGGTGGCCTGAGCTTCATGGCTGGTGGCGCACAAACCCAGCTTTCAATTACGCCTTCTCTACAGCAGATACAGGGCAAGATTTTGCGTCCACTGCATTAGAACATTTCGCTATCTCAAAGCAACCACAAGCACCGGCCACAGGTGACAACGACACTCACACAGATGAGGATGCCAAAGACAGAGAAATAGTTGAGATCAGTGCTCATACTACAGGTGATGCTGGCATTATAGATGCGCCAGATGATATGATGGTTGACCAGCCCCCCTCCATGGAGTCATTTGAATCACCGTTGTCAGCACCATCCCTGCTGTTATTTTTGGACCATGGTCCTAGTGACACGCCCAACTCATTCTCACTCGCTCCATTACCACACTGGTGCCAATGACCCCAACCTCCTCCCATCACAACTTCCAACACACATGGCGTGATATCAGTTGAACTCTCCTGAGCGCTCACCGGTACCCAATCAAAGCACCACCCACAATTCACCTTTCTTTTCTGATTTCAAGGAGTCATCAGCTAGCCCTCAATCCACACCCATTGACTCAGAAGATTCGGACATTGGTGCTAGCCGAGCGCTGCAGTCTCTTTGCGTCAGCTCACTCAAAGGAAGTCGTGCAAGTTCACCCTCTCTTTCTACAAAGCAGTCTTGTGCACATGCACCTACTCAGAGTGCTTCACCTCAATCTAGTCGCCCCCCCCTCTTCATCACGCAAACGCCTGGTGGCAGTGCTCTCGATCAGACCTCTGCCGCTGCAGATAGGATGTCTCAGATGGCAGATTCCCTAATGACACACCTTAACAGCAAACGTGAGGATCATGTGGAGCACGAACACTATAAATGCATGAAACTCGAGACCGAAATTTGGGCTCATGATCTCAAGGCCTGCAGTGCTTGTGATGAGTGGGAGCATGCGATGCGTCTATCTGACCAAGATCATCAGCACCAGCAGGAGAGGATCACTCAACAGATGGAATTTGCAAGAATTGAGATTGAGCTATCTTGTGCACATCGGGAGGAGGAGGAGGCTCGAATTCGTCGTATTGCTTTGGAGCGCGGTCTTGATCAAAACTAAGTAGGTTTGCACTATGTCGTCACATAACAGGTTTTCAGGAAATGCATTCCATGTTGTACTCGATGGTGCCAACTCAGAGAGCTCACTAAAATGCTCCTTTCTCTAGAAAATCTCAAGCACAACTGACCCCTCCTAGATCTCACCAAAATGCTCCTTTCTCAAGAAAATCTCAAGAGTGACTGACCCCTCCTAGAGCTCGCCAAAACGCTCCTTTCTCGAGAAAATCTCAAGCGCTACTGACCCCTCCTAGAGCTCACTAAAATGCTCCTTTCTCGAGAAAATCTCAAGTGCTACTGACCCTCCTAGAGCTCACTAAAATGCTCCTTTCTCGAGAAAATCTCAAGTGCTACTGACCCCTCCTAGAGCTCACTAAAACACTTCTTTCTCGAGAAAATCTCAAGAGTGACTGACCCCTCCTAGAGCTCACCAAAACGCTCCTTTCTCGAGAAAATCTCAAGCGTGACCTTGTGAGCCAAAAGGAATATGTATAGGTACAACTACATTTAATATAATACTAACTACCTTCGCTCCAACAACAAAAGCAACTGTGTCTTTAATGTGTTACGAAAATCCTGCCCCACAGTTCCAATGTAAGTCTGATCACCTACTGCGCCACCCTGTTGCTGATCATCCTCTCCTCCGTCACCGTCAGCTCACCTCAATCTCCGAGTTTGCTGATAGAAGCATACATTTGAGTCTTCGTGGTTTTCTTTTTCCTCAATTTCAACAATTAAGTTGTGCAGAATGAAGCATGAACGGATCCACATGTTCACGTAGTCGAGGTCCTTCTGGCTTTGGATTGGGATGTGAAGCTCTCACAGTGATTGGAACTGGCCCTTGATAGAGCTGAAGAAGTGCTCTGAACGAATGCAGACCTAGACACTGGGTGAGGACGATGAAAGTATATTAGTACTGATGCTCACTGTTGACAGGTTATAATTGAATGTCCTTTGCTCGGCCGTCAAACATCCTCCCGCTGGCCGTTTGTATGGCGGCACACACCAAATTCACGCAGCATACACTGAGTCCGCCCACAACCACTCTCCCGCACCAAAAAATGACTCCGGATGCCGGGAGACCCTCGTTCGTGCAAATATGTTCGAGTCGTGAAGACTCCCAGGTACGCCAATGACGTAATCAACGATACACAGATTATGAGGGAATATGATGACCTTTTGGATTGTAAGTCGCTGCACTGCACACTGAGCCGATAGTAGATACTTACCTGGGCTGTTAGAGAGTAGTCAGAGTTCTTGTCAAAGAACCCTTCGCCGTGCCAACCAGGCTTCTCATGTAGAGGGGACGGAGTCCCATCTACACAAAGGAAACCGCCGCGCCACTCACGACATGTCTTCTGCTCCACATACGCTTTTGCCCGCTCTCGCTCAATCTGGTCCTCACGATTGAGCGGATCAAAATGTATGGCGCGATCATGACTCGCTTGTAGCAGTTGTAGATGGTCCCTACGGACACTCCAGCCCAATCGGATATGTCTTCGGTAGTCGCAGCATTGCCATAATGGCCGACACCATTGAGAAAGATCGCAAGCTGGACGGCGACAGGAAGTTGTGGATTATTCGAGTTATTATGGAAAATGGGGTGGGCTTGAATTAACGTCATGAGTTTGTCGAATACCTCTGCATCAACGCGAAGCTTGCGGCGAAACTTTTCAGGTGAGAGCAGCGCCCATTCTTGCAGCAGGTGTAACTGCGGTGCGCGAGTCAGAGATGGACGCACGTCAAGTACCCGACACTTCTCCACTTCATCGTGCAGTGCCCCAATCGCATCAATAAAGTGCATAAATACTTGATCACACATGTCCGGGATATCGAGTGATAGGACATCATCATATGCTGTTGAAAGCGAGGTTACGAGAGAGCTGATGGACAACGTGGATACGATGGATGACATTGGGACTCCGGCCATGTTGGCGATGCGGTCTGTATGCTGACATCTGACCCTCCACTACCAGTAGTATCACCATCTGATCCCTTATCAGAGCTATCGTCAGAGCCCTCCTCGAGTAGCTGATCCACCATAAATTCAATCAACTCCATGTATCATGCGACCATAAGGTCATTTGTTGTTTGCTTCAGACTACGAAGTAGTTTTTTGCGATCCGATTCTCGAGGCATCTTCCAATGTCGTTGCAGAACGTTATCAATATGGTGGTCACAATAAGGTACAATGATGATGGGCGGTGGTAAGATATGAGCTTGATTTGTCATCGTCGGAGTTCTAATTATCGGCAAGTCGCAAATTTCTTACCTCTTGAAATTTCTATGATTTTAACTTTGAGGACTGCTAATGAATCAAAGGAAAAATGGAGAAGTAACTCAGTGACAGAGGGCTAGACAGTCTCTCATATCTTCCTTATCACTCTCTATATATATCTGATATGGTATGAATCACATAACATGCATGACACCGGCAGCATTTCTGCAGTCGAGGGAATGAGACCATGTGAATGTGCTTCATGAACCACCAACATATCCTCAGGGATAGATGCCTTGAATTTCGCAGAGTCAACCAGCTTGCGCAGCACAACATCCAAGGTACTAGTCACCAAGGGGATGTCAAACATCTCCGGCACCTCATCACTGAGCTGCTTGAGACATTCTTGAACAGTTTACATCAGATTAGGAAAGTATGATGAAAACCCAGAGATTACATACCATCTGGCCAAGCTGCGAACTTGATCTCAGGTGCATCAACATCTAATTCATTAATGACATCCTCCACAGTGCGCTCCTGACCTCGGCGCTTCCCCTTTGACTTCTTTTTCTCTATCTCAAACAAGTTCTCAGCTTTGGTCCGGAGTTCTGCCTCGTAGTAGGAATGTGCTTTGTGCTTGATGAAAGGGACGATGAGCAGCTTGAGATGCTGTGAACTGAGGTTATGAGGGTTGAATTCAGGACCAATGGGGGTAACATCATCAGGCCAGTTCTTGATCATGAACTTGTACTGAAAAGCATAGTCAAGAAGCTTCCGCCACTGGACTGCTTTGGGTCAATACCCAAACTTCGCTATTGGAGCAGACTTTGGTAAATTGTTTAATGTTGAAAAACTTGAGTACCCACACGTTTTCTTGAGTACCATGATTGGCCATATCCTCCTGTAACGGTCATGGGGAGCCCCGTTCGGCTTAGAAAGTAGGATTTCATAAGCCCCTACTCCCCCCATAAACTGCGGAATGGATATGTTGTAGCCTTTCGCTCTGTAGACATGTCAGGAGGTAGGAAGCCCAGAAGGATAAGACGCACTTTGTTGCTGTCACGACCCAATCTAAAATTGCGCGAGCATCCAGTTGATGCTCATTAATCAACTTGACTATGAGGTTGGAGCCTGCGACGAAGCCGGATGCCTGTCGAGCAGCCTCATCTTGTGTGGTGTCAAATATACAACCAACGGCCTCGACTCCTTCAAGGCGAGAATAAGCAGACAACTATATTGAGGCATTAGTTACAACATAGAATGAGTAAATGAGTAAATGTACCTTTCTTGCGATGTCCTCCCTCATTGACAAGATGGTCTTTGCGCGCGATTGATCAATATTGCCGCCAGTGATGCTATAGTTGCGAATTGTGTCCCACTGTTCATCATCCTTGCCCATTGCATGATAATGTGTGTGTTGATGTTCTTTCCAGTCAACAATAGCTGAGACTCTCGAGTTAGTACCATTTACACAATAGAAATGGGGACTGACATTCTTTATCCTCGTGAGGGTTATTATCCATGAACCAGTGTTGGTGGGCATTCCAATCAGACTCTGATCGGGAATGCTTGATAGATAGGCCAGCCTCAATAAGAATAGCGCGTGCGGACTTGCCGTACTTGACGCCAATGACCCGAGCTTCTTCTGCTGTTTTGCGTCCAAGTTCCTGAGCCTCATCAATGCCCTCCTGACATAGCCAGCCTCGCTTTATATTGCCTGAGAGTTCTTCTCCATTCTCAGTGGGCTCGTTGTCTGGTGTAGGGCCAAAAACTATGCTGGCAGGAGTGTGGTTGTCAGCTGAATGTGAAATAGATGGATGAACATGCTTGTTGTGAATGGTTGTCAAGCGAATGGTGTTGGCTGAGGTAATATTGACTGCTGAAGACGTCTTCCTGCGCTTAGCAGGCGGTGAAGATGGACTGTTGTGGTCGAGGTCTTTGTCTGCATCTGACTCGTGGGTGGAAACTTGATCAGATCTTGCGGGGTGTTCTTGTTTTGCGCGGGAAGAAGTGTAGCTGCTGTCTGACGAAGAGGTCGGAGAACCGTCATTGAAATTGTAGTTGATTGTCTTGACCTTTCGGGCCCGATGTCTCCTGACTGCATAGAATAGGTAACCGTCAGCCTTCCCCACCAAGAGAAAAATTAGACAGTACAAACCTGGTGAAGTCTTTGTGTGTCCTCGGTCCTCGTTATTCTCATCATTGTCTGTATCCTTGATGTTGTTGTCACTTTCTATATTATCTTCGTGGTCAAACACCCATCAGCCTTCACAACCGTAGATTAAATGATATATGATATACCTGGTGAAGTCATTGCATGCCCGGAGTCCTGATTCTCCTCATCCTCATCTTCCTCATCCTTGCCTTCCTCATCATTGCCTTCATCAGCCTGGTCTTCATCAGCCTGGTCATTGCCTTCGTTAGGGTTAATGTCGTGGTTATCATTGTCGCCAACATTGCCCATGCCATCATCTTCATCATCGGTGGCAGAGGCTGCTATGAAAAGGGTTAGCATTAATTGTTTTAGCGAATACCATAGATCAGTACCTGGGGCACAGTCGCTTTTCAACTGCATATCAGAAAGAACTGAGTCTACTGAAGGTTTTACTTTTGGTTTGCGAGGGCGGGCAAGGATCTGAGCATAATCTTCGAAGGTCATGCTCAAGGAACGTCAGGCCAGAGGACAAGGTTTTGGGCAGTTAACATTATCCGGAACAGGAGAGAGCTGCTGGATAGTACGTCTTTTGCGCTTATTATGTTGGTCGGCAGGGGGGTTGATAGCAATACCACTGCGTGTGCGCATGACAGAGCTGTCGGACACAGTGGGGCCTGTAGTGCCAGTAGTAGTCGCACCATGACGGGCTTTGGTTCTGGTGGAGGGCGCCATTAAGCTGTAGATACTGAGAAAAGGGGTGCTTTTAAGACAGATGTTAAAAGCAGGCAGCTCGCAAAACATGAAGTCTTAGAGCTTTTTTGCAAGACTTGAAGTCTTAACAGGATGATGGAAGAGTGTGTAGAAGACAAATCTGATTGTGAGTCAGAAGAAGAAATATTCCTTGTAGAAATACACGTACATTGTGGTTTTTAACAGATCGTAGAGGGGCCAATATGAAGCAAAAACAAATTTTTAACTATAATCCGCCCAATCAACACACAAAAAGAGTTAGATCGAAATGACATCAAATAATGCGATATTCAATGCAAATGAACACATACTAACTGATGGTCCACATCAAGAAAGTTAGAATTCGGATGAGTGATGGAGCGAATATGTGTATTTTTGATGAATGGGGATGGTAAAGTGAATACTTCTTCAACGTAAGATCGTCGCCATGGCGCAAGTGTCATAGCTATGGCAGCAAGAAGGTTCGGTGTTGAGGCAGGTAGGACCATCTGACTCATAGTCAGACAGCCAGGTAGCGCTGGATGACGCGAAGTCACCCAGGCAAAGTTTGTCTGCCTTGAAGGCAGACCGAACGATTGTGTGATGAGGTTGAATTTTGGTTGTCTGTTGCAAGTATAGTGTGTCAATAATAATAAAGTAAAATGTGGGGAGGACGTACTGATCGGTAGTTAGAATATGAAATACCTGAGGCGTTCAAAATCCCTGCAGACAATGAATTAGAATAAGATAACTGGATACGCGCCTTTGTAGAGGATGGGTGGACAGAAGTCCTAATGGGCAAAGTGATGCCGTGTTGAAGGTTAGGTGTTGAGGCAGGTAGTAGGACCATCTGACTCGTAGTCAGACAGCCAGGTAGCGCTGGATGACGCGAAGTCACCCAGGCAATGTTTGTCTGCCTCAAAGGCAGATCAAACGATTGTGCAATGAGGCCAGACGAGGTGGAGATGGGGACAGACGATTCAGAAAGATTCAGAAAGAATGGAGGATGAGTTTGATGAGATTTGGTAAAATTGCCAAATTAGGAAGTTGAACACAGGCTCTCCCAGACTAAGTAAGGGCTTTCCCACAATTCTGGACTTCAGATTGTCCTTCAGTCTTTCATCCTCAGCTTGTTTTTCTCATCGCTCACCGCCCAACTTCTTCCTCCATCACCGTTCCGCACCCTCTATAGTCTGCCTTTGTGGTAGACGCCCTGTGAGCAGCAACTTCGTGTTGCTTGCTGCTATCAATTGCTTAGACTTCGGTCGGCAGTTCTTCCACCGGCCTGAGTATCTTGCCTTCCACTGGCCACATCTTGTCATCCACCAGCAGTGTCTTGCCTTCCACTGGCCGCATCTTGTCGTCTGCTGGCAGCATCTTGTCTTCTTTCTGCAGCATTGCCACCCACAGCCAGAATCATCTTAACCGTCAGAATTGTTTTCAACCACAACAATTGTCTTCAACCGTTTTAGTTTTTCTTAACCATTTCTTTTTCACGCTGTTACTGACACCCAGACATCTACAAGATCTCTCTCGATTTTACTTCAAGACTGTTGTCAGCTTTTGCGGTAAGCATAATTGGTATGATTACACTATAATTACTGACATTCAGCATCCAGCTAGATTGACATTTCCAATATCTCCCGATCTCACTCAAGACTGTGCTGTTGGCCGTCATGGGTAAGCATATGTACTCTATCTGATCACACTATCGCAACTGACATCCAGCCTCTAACCAGACTCTATTCGCTCAAGACTCTGTAAGTGTAATCACTATTGGATTACGCTATAATTACTGACATCATGCCTTCATTCAGATTTCTTTTCAATATCTCTCAAGACCATCCTACTCTGCCTTCATGGTAGAATTTAAATCATCAGTGACTTCGAGTCGTTGTGCGATTTAAATCTCATTCCTCAGTGACTTCGAGTCACTGTGTCATTCTCAGTACCGCCATTGCTGGATCCGCAATCATGTCCATCCCTGTCTTCAAACTGTTCGTGCGCGATGGCGACCATGTGTTTTGTCATCTCCGCACCTATACTGTCTTTGACTGACGATGTCCATCCAGGTTATCTCACTGCTACTGATGCATTCTGCGTGGCTACATATGGGCACCGAGTCATCACCACTCCCAACATGAAGTTCATTCCCCAACCCTTCGACAATGAATCCGACATAGTTCAAGCGCGAGCAGATGGCAGATATTGGGCCGTAGATCCTTTCAGTGACCACAGATGTACGATGACTCGTACGCTCGAAGTTTCGCAATCCCACATCAGGAAGCCTACATGGACGACTTGAGCATGACATATGCGTGGTTCAGGCCAGCTTTCACGAGTGACTTTGTGCCCCTTGCGCCCAATAATCTTTTTGGTCAGCTCAAGATGGACATTCTCGACCATCTCAAACGATTGTATGAGAAGGCCAACAAGCGAGTCAGCAGCTACAAGCTCACAAGGTTGCACAAAGAGGATCATGTTGTTGGGTGGGTGCATGCGATGTGTGCTGTATATGAGGGCTTCCAGCAAGCCATGGCCTGGCGTGACGTTGTCATGGTCGTTGCTGAGTATCAGCGTCGCTTTCTCGATATCTGGGCGCTTCTAGATTACTGCAAAATCATTGAGTCCCACATACATTTCGTCGACACCACACATAATGTTAACCCTAAATGGATGGGTTGTCTCACTCAAGATGTTGCTATTGCCATGAAGGTGCACACTGCTGGAGTTCCTGTCTGGCTTATTCGCGATGCCAGACTCGTTCAATCCAATATGAACATCATCAAGGTAGTTTCAATCACACCACCCGATGACCTTGTCATCGGCATGTACCACCATCCCATCAAAAATTTCGCTCAACCATTCGACATCATTGCCAGATGTCCTAGCAATCGCCGGTGCCATGAGGCCGTTCATCAGCCATACTCTGACTTTGAGAAGCTGCCCGTTCCAAAACCCCAAGTTGAACAACTTGTCATGAAGGAGTCATTGGTGGGGAAGGCTCGTGTAGACAAAGGGAAGGCAAAGGCAAAGCTTGCGCCATGTAAGTTCATCAGTCTTCTTTCATGGCCGCTGTTTCTCATTCATTTTTCAGACGATATCACTGCTCCCCGTCAGAACAGAGCTGTATCCGGCCGTGACAAGTGGTCCGATATTGATCACCCTTACATGCCCCCAATGAATTCTTCCTTCAAGACAGCTTTGCAGGAAGCGAAGAAAGAATTCATCTGCATCAAGCATCCCAGGGACAAAATGGACGACGGTTACTCGCTTCCTGATCCGGGATTGTTCATCAATGTTCTTTCCCCGCAAACATTGATGAAGTACCTTGCCAACTGGCTGGCTTGCTGTCCAACCTGGCTAGAACGTGTCTATGAAGAAAGCCCTTGACCTCTTCCTCAGGCCCAGAACTGGCGCAATTTCTTAATATCTCAGCATGCTCAGGGTCCTCTGGACACACAGACGTCCAGCAAGACTAGCAAGTCGAAAGCAGCTACTGCTGCCCTCTTTCAAAAGGAGGTTACAGCACTGCGGGCCTTTTCAGGAGCCTCAAATGTTCATTGGCGCAGTAAGGACATAGCTATTTCTACTCTCGACAATCCCCCCACAGATCTTGTGCGCCAAATAATGTAGGAAATCTGTGAACAAGGTTTCCAATATGAACTTCTCGACCTTGATGAACATCTTGGGCGCAATGCACATAAGGACAAGGAAGCGAGGAAGGAAAGGATGGAACTTCTTTGTAGCATTTTCCCATCGAAGTCATTGAGAGTTTGGAACAAGGACTTCCCTCAAGAAAACAACGGACTCAATGCGCCATCTTTCGATGCTGCTTTACCGTACTTCGAAAGTTTCCACAAGGTATTGTTGACATGGGAGTGCTTTCCCGAGTCCCTCAAGCAGCCTCTCAATCATACCGGACGTTGACCTGCACCAAACCGGTTCGGTGCATGGACGACCAATACTCTCTCATGAGTCATATACCCTGAAATACCACTATGAAACCCTTTTCCCTTTTATCTGAAGTTGGGCACCAATACTCTCTCATGAGTCATATACCCTGAAATACCACTATGAAACCCTTTTCCCTTTTATCTGAAGTTGGACTGAGGCTAAGGGAATATTTTTTGCTTTTCTTTTTATTTTTTTCAAGTCTATATGCCAGCAGCCTGAATATTTTAGTACATTTAATTCTGCGATGAGTTTTGCTTAGTCAGCCATGGTGATGACCCAGACAAAATCCCACACATGTCAGGTGACTGTGAAAAATATTTCCCACATATGTTGTCCTGGAAAAACATTAGTAAACCCCTAAATACTAGGCTCGCGTCATTCTCACCCTTCAAACAAAGCAAAGCAAAGACAGCCACGCACAGGATTCATATCATGTGACACTTCTTACTCTCCTTCTGGATTTGTCATCAGGGGTTGGACAGGTCACATGACTTAGCAAATACCCAATGACTCACTATGACTCACTCTAGATACTTACTATGACTCACTATGACTCACCTTGCACATATGACTCATTATGACTCTTGATGACTCTTGAATACACTAGTAGCACAGCCACATTTATTGTGTATATAATGACCTCAGTTTTTGAAATAAAAGAAGCAGATACCAGCAGGTAGTAGGGTGTTTCTCAGCCCAACTAACACTAAGTTGTGAAGTAAGGTGTGATAAGTGTCAGTACCAGTGTCAAGAACTGTTTCAAGACTGAGAGGAACATTCTCAAGAGACAGTAATACTGCAAGCTCATCATACTGAACGACCCGCTGTGAGCTCACTGTGTGCAACAACCAGCAAGCAAGGTACAGCCACACTTTTATTCTGATTTCTATTATTCTTTTTCTTTTCTTTTACTTTCACTGACCTTTGGTGTTCTTTGTCCAAAAATACTGATCCAAAATATTCATGTTGTCTCTACGTCCACCTAAGACTCAGTAGTAGCATAGTGGGGAGACTTTAGGAATTGATAGTGAAGCTTGACCTCACTCATCTGAGTAGTGATACTGAGCCAAGATATTCTGTGCCTGCTAGGCTTTAGCCGTTGAAGAGGGGACTTGGTAGTAAACCCAAGGACGTCCATTCCTGAGTCTGTTTGAATACTCAAAGAAGAGTTCCTTGACAGCAGGTTCAATATTGAGCTAAGAGTTCTACAATAAAGCATCTGATTAGTCTTGACCTTTGATTCTACCTGTTTTGTGCTGAGGGGGTTTATCATTGTAATTCTGCACCATTTCTTTTGGAGTATAGCTTGGTACAAAGCACTGTTGTTGAAAGGGAACTTGAGGAAGAATCCCATATATTCTTTTGGTCATTGCCATACTGTCGGGCTGACCATTGTTTGTTTGTTTTCCTGTCAAAGTCCATAGATTGGATTGACCATCGTATTACTGATCTTGCAGAAGTATCCTTAGCTGAACATACCTTGGGTAGTATACAACTAGCCACCCACGAACGACCACATTATCAGTCATTGGTATTTGTCTGAATCGCTGACCGTGGAGATATTTGTTTTTATAGGTGTTTATCTATAGATCATCTATCTAAGAAGACATTACTGGAGCCCACCGCGAGGGGTGGTATTTTTAAGTTTGTCACTAACCTAATATATACAGACCAGTCTTGTTACTGTATCGACATACACACTTTCACATCGCTTGACATCCATTGTCATCATGAGTACCCAACCAGCACATCCAGCTAATCCAGCTAACCCTGTTAATCCAGCAAATCCAGCACCTGCCCAGCCTGCGGCTGCGCAACAGGCACTACCTAATCATCCGCCACTCATTCTACCATTGCCAGGAGGCAAACATGCCCCTGCTAAGTTCCAGGGAAAGTATAACCAAGTCAAGAAATTCATTCGTCACTATGAAAGACTATGTGACCAACTTCTAATCACAACCAACCAGGAGATGTGTGAGAATGTTACTTTGTACTGTTCCTCACGCATCACACGACTCATAGAAATATTGCCAAGTTACAGAAGAAACAACTGGGCTGACCTGAAGGCAGACTTTATCAGCCTCTTTGATGCAGATCGGGATGCTAAGCGATATAAGGTTCGCAGCTTAGTAACCTTTGTCAACAAGCATCGGTCAGCATCTATCAGAACATTGTCAGATTGGAAGAAGTATATTCAGGATTTTTTTTTTTTTTTTTTTAATTCCGATTTTTTGTCCATTGAGGATGTAATCCTATGTAGGACAGTACTTTCTAATCTACTGGACCCCCTGTGTCCTTTGCTTCCTGAGATCGCAAATGCCCTGACGTGAGGCGTACCCCCGTCAGTCCGCCGTTCCTGCCGGCCGTTTTAGACGTGCATCTCGTTTGCGTGGTAAGTAGATTTAGTGCTCTACTGGCGGTTGTGTGATGTGCGATGATGGTACATGTTTCTCGTCCGCTTTCACGGAATTCGGGATTTTGTAGCTATAGGAGGATGGCTACTAGCCAAGAACAAGATATCAAGCAATGACCATGCTACATACTTTTGGAAAGGAATTCCTAGAACATTGCGCTCCAGAATTGAAACACGGTTATTGGCAACAACACCCCTAAGAGATATGACAATCCCTTTCACCTTCAATGAGGTATCCCAAGCAGCAGATAAGATTCTGCAGCGTGATCGCTTTGATACGGACCTAGTATATTCAGATACGGATAATTCAGATAGCAGCGACTCAGAAAGTTCTAGTGGCACGGACTCAGATACTGAATCAAGTTCAGAATCAGACGAGGATTATGACAGGAAGCTCAAGTCTGCAAAGAGAGCAAAGCATAAGAGGCACTTACCTAGTAAGACCATTATACGTAAGACTCGCTTTGAAGATGGAAGCTCCGATGATGAAACTCCTATTACTAAGACACGAAGAGCAGTTCACAGACAACGGGCTGCTAAGCAAGGCTCACAAGAAGAAGTAGAGAATTTGATTCAACAACTGGGAAGAATGAAAATAGGAGATGCTAACTATAGCACACTTTACTATCAAGCTATAACCTTAGACCCAGCAGTGAAAGATATTGTTGAGAATCCTCTGAGCAGAAGGAGAAGAGAACAGGACATGGGCTTTCACTGCGGGCATTTTCTCATTTTCCTCCACCAAACATCCAAAAAACATTGAATTAGAAGATAGAAATTTCTTTTTATTGTGTGTATCAAAACATTGAAAAAAAATAATGAATGTATTGAAGATTTTCTGTATGCAAGACATAATCTAAAAATGAGTCATTTTCCCTCAAGAAACAGTCTATATTTTTCATTCATCATTCCTCAAATAACAATTTACAATCATGTCAATTTTTTGGCCTCTGTTTTTCCAATGTTCTGTGTATCAAAAATCTCAATTACTTCATCCTGTTCACCATATGTTTGATCCAAGAACATTGAAAAATCATATAACAAATAATAATAAATATTTTGACAATGTTTTGTTAAGGAAAAGCAAAGAAACTTTCAAACTTTCATTTGTATATTTGATCAGAGGAAATTTATGAAACATGCCCCATGTTTTGTAAGAATAAATACATAATGTTTGCAGTATATTCCTCCTGCACAACACTTAAAAAACATTTATTATGTTCAGAGAAAAAAAATGAAACATGATTGCAGGATACTCTGCCTCAGAACATGCACAAATTATACATTGTTTTCTGCACACAATAGGTGGAAAATACAGCATTATCCTTGAAGGAACATGATGAATTTTTGCATCATGTCCCACACACAGAAAATCATTGAAACATAAATTATTATTTTTTCAATGTTTTGACAGACAAAATGAAGGTACACTGGTCCAAGTAGTGCTGCTAAGAACCAAGAACCATTCGGCAGGGAAATGAGAACAAAATGGTGTGACAATATAGAAGGGTTTTTTGAGAAGATTTTTAGTAATGGTGAAGCGATGAGTATAGAGGCAAGGTTGAGAGTAGGGGTGCAAGTGTGAAGACGAAACATTTCGAGAGGCTAAGACTTTCTGTAGAGCAAAGTTTGCTTTGAGCAGGGAACCAACATATGATTCTGCTGTTGTTATGAGTGTACATGAGCAGTATAAATACATTTTCAAGTACTTTACTAGGCTGAAATAAGAATGGGGAGCATATGGCGAGGTGAAAATACTTTGGTGAAACAAGGGTATCGTGAAGTTTGAGCACAAGGTAAGATAACGGAAAAAGAGAGAATGGAGAAGTGAGAGAATGTATCCACATAACTCGGATGCAAAGTGTAGAGCTTTCTCGCATCCGTGAGTCACGTGGACTTTGTGAATGACAGTTCTCAGATTTCCTTTTTGAGGTGCGGGCTGTGTGTAGAGGATAGACAATCCTTACACATGTCATGGCCCATGGGACACAGAAAATTGATGAATCCTTTAAGTCAGCCTTTCTTATGCACAACCAGCTGCTTTTGCTCCTTGACATCACTTGGCATTAATTTGCATTTCTTTCTGCCTGTGAAACTGCAGTTGGTGTATTTAGTACATGACTGCCTCAGTGCTGCACCAAGCAGTCCAGTTGTTGGCTTGTGACATGGATGGTTCACATTTGAACCCCAAAAAAACCAAACATGACCACTCTGAACAGTTTGCAAAGGTTCAATCCAGGGTTTGTCGACTCTGGTAGAACTGGACCCAGGTTTGGCACTTGCGCTGTAGAGACTCGCGCGTCTCAATGACGAAATATCCGGCCTTTAACCATACATTCCTATATGTTACAGCTCTACTCCTAAGGACCAGTCTCGCGCGAACTCGCGCGCACTTAGGCGCGCCTTACCTACGCACGCGCTATGCGCGCTTCGCGCGCCTCCTCATAGGTCTTCGCGCTATCGTCCGTCCATCCGTCCCATGTCCTTACTGATTCGCTGGTGCGTTATTTCTATCTTATCCATTGAACTAATAAAATCTTCAGTCCGACATCCGCGCTAC